ACTTTTTCCAGCCTGTTGTTAAGTAGGTCTTGCGAGAATCGTTCTATCACATAAGGGCTTGGTTAAACTACAAAACTTTATGGTGGAAGAAGACGTTGGACTGTTTAAGCACACGGGAAACAACTGCTGCGAACACAAACATTGCTTCCTCGGCGCCAGAAAATGCTATCATGGATATGAGAGGTAACCATGACAACCACATTGCTGGTTAATCCCATTGCTCCTGTTACGCAAAATTTTTTTAGAGGGGAGATAATAGGTCATCTGCACCATGACGTCTTTTCACTACCTAGACCAGAATTCATTTCGTTTTTTCTTTCATATTCAAATTTCGTCATCCCAGTGAGGTTTACATAACAAAAGCCCTAATTCGCACAAGAAAACAATACCCTGAAGGATTATGGCAGTTATGGTAGTAGTAGTAAAATGACGCCATCGTGCAAATGGCCTATCACTTAGGCAACAAAGCAGCAAAATGTCAGCGACAGCCCTGATCAGTTCTAAGCAATGCATTGTTAGAAATAAGAAACTTTGAATTGAAATTCTCACCCTTCCACAAAGGTTCTATTCACCAGACGAACACAATGATCCCATAATACAGTTCGCGCCTCCTGTGGTACTGGGATTTGTCTGAAGAGAGTCAAGTATATTAGTAACCTGCCAAGGTTAGTTTTCTTAGCAGACGTTCAAGTTGATACTTGTAATGTAGTTAGCTAGTGCATTTCTTGACTAAAATTCGAGGATACCACAAACAACGACAGGAACAAATTATTTACTTGAAAAATATTGCACAGCAGCAAATACAATCTTCAATCACAATAACACGCCGTCTAATGCGCTGGTATGTTTATTTCGGATCAATCATTGTACAGAAAAACAAATCAACCCATATTGAATCGTGAAACAATGAATTGCACGTCCAGTAAAAGCTTCAATGAGAAACTATTTTAACACCACAAAGACACACAAGGTATGGTTATGGAACTTCTTACAAGATTCTCCTAGACTTTCTCCTATCGTTTATGTGGTTTTTTTTTGTCGTTCATAGAAGTACCTTTATCATTCCGGAGACCGACGATACCGTCTTTAACATCATAAAATTTACGCCCGATACCAGAACCGAAAATTGTATGAATTGGGTGGGGGGGAGGGGAGGATAATGTTAGTATTGGCACCATAGGTATAGAGGTATTATCTTCCCTACGCCCTCCCGCCCGACAACGTTTTCTGTCATTGTTACTGGAAATGGAACAAAACAAAAACAATCCTGAAGTGACTTTTACCGTTTTGTACTTACTTTGCCAGCTGAGCAAGCCTCATGCTAAAAACTTGTAATTCCTGTTGTGCAAAAAAAAGGAAATAACTGATCGAGTCATTAAATGAGTAGAATACAGGGCGAACAAACGCAGAGTTATTTTACCTGGTTAAAAAGGTACACGATAAGATAACTCAACTTCAAAACTAATTGCGCTTAACTGGCCGCTCAAACTCAACCTTCGTATGGATACGAAGGCGAGGGAGGCGAGTGATCTCACCACTCCACCACCCTAGCACCGGTTACCGGTCGTTTCGATACAAGTCGTTTCGATACAAGTTTATTCATTTGAGGTGTAAATAGTTCCACGTACTTGGTTTAAAGAACGAAGATATTCGCCCAAAATTCTTTTCTTGTTCACTCGCAGATTATGATTGAAGTGAAAAAAATGTTTGTGCAATTTCACTGCTTGAGTTTGTATCGAAACGACCGGTTTCCCTAGCACCACAAGGGGAGCAAAAAATACCCGTTTGGAGCCTCGCTAAAATACTCTTAATACGGATGTCTACAAAACAGAGGTCATTTTACTGAGAATATGGGAAGAAAGTTTAGGACTCCCTGGCGCCGATTTCCCCTTGTTACAAGTTTCATGTTACGATCATAATAACCACAGCTGATGCGGTAGGTAGTACTGAAAATGATAACAATTGGCTCTCTGTAACAGTGGTACTGGTGAAACATGGAACTAAAAGTAAGGAGTGCGTTGCATTACCCGCACTAACATGTCCACGTAGGCGTTGTGTTGTGACATGATGTCCCGGATGTCCCACCTGACTCCCATCATCTTCTGTAGCGTCTGAAAACACGAAAGAATAGAGAACTTTAGATTTGAGGACAAGAACGACTACGATTACAGATTTAACTTAAAGTTTTTTCGCGTATTGTCGAAAAATATTCAACCCGGAAAGCTTCATTGTACAATTTTTCACCTGAAAAATTTGTGCGGTTATTCTTATTGGAGAAGGTTTAGCCCTTTCCCGGTTGCAAAATGATTAAACTTCTAACATTTGATGACTTGTTCCCGCCCCTACGCCATTCTTGCTAAAACTCGTAGTAGCATGACGACGGCTATCACGTTTTCCCGCCAAAATGACGTTGGTCCATGCAAGAGCACTACTTAGTACTACGGAGAAAATTTTGTACTCGTAGTCGTCCTCGTCGGGAGCTAAACAAATGTGGATGATGTAACAAGCCGCAGATACGCAGAAACCACTCGTTCAAGTTTGTCTCCGAATTCTGACGGTGAAGAAAGGTAGCACTTCCTCTCTTGAGGCCATAACATTCTGACTGAAAACCCAAGCTCAAAAATCGACGCGACATGATTAACTCTGCAAAATGTGAGTTGTTAAAGAGATTTTGCTCTAAGGTCAGAGAAAAATCCAGTTAAAATTGCCATTACATAAGCTAGTGAAGGAAATGTTCATTAAAAAGGATGAACAAAAGTGCCGTGTTTTATATGGAGTTACTTCCCAAAGGTTCAGGCGTAGCCCTTCATCTTTCAGTGGAATTATATTACAACTATGTTAGAACCATTACCATGCATATATAGCAGAGATGGGGTGGGGGGAGCGTCTGACCCCTTTCGGTCTGAAACTAGGTAAATGTTTGAACCCTTTGGGTAGACGTTTGTACTATTCGTCTCTAGAAAACAGTGGTTTAGGTCTAAAATAGGCGGGGAAATCGCATATTTTGGAAAGGAAGCAAGAAGCAGGCCGCACACCCCAACCACATCTTCCAACATTTTTCGCCAGGGTTTAAGTAGAAGTAAGACCTAATTTGTTACGTATTAATTGACTTACCTGATCGTAATCAATAACTCTAGCGGCCACACTTCTGTACACTGGTCTTCTAAGCTCTTGTACAGTGCTCACCGTCTGAGGATAGGAATACAAGATTCTGATTAAACGTCCAACGTTCTCTAGCTACCTTGAGAGTGTTTTTATTTATTTATCACACTTCGACAAAAAGGTCGTCAAGGGGGCAGCGTGGCCGAGTGGTCAGCGCGTCAGACTCTCAATCCGGCGGTTCCGGGTTTCAAGTCCAGCTCTGGCCACTGGCTGGAATTGTTCTGGGTTTTCCCGAGTCAAGTCTTCGACCATGCTTGTAAATAGGCAATTGGTTGCCTCCTGCCAGCTGGGGGTTTTAATCCTGTAATGTTATATTTGAACAAGAGAGAATGAGCTAGATCATTCTCTCTTGATTTAAATTAATTGTTTCTAATTATTTGAATGGAGTGGATAAGCTTTAGAAGTAAACTTCTTTCCACTATAAACAAACCTTAAACCTTTTTTTGTATTTCTCAGAATTGGGGTTGAAGCATTTGTTGAGTGGTCTTCTCAACTCGGTTGGCAGCAATAGTCTCAGACTACTTTCATTTTCGCGTGAACAAAACTATTTTCAACGCATTTGTTCCGTAAAGATGCGTAAGTCCACTTACCTGAGAGTAAAACTGGGAAAGAAATGCTCTTTTGTTCGCAGGAATCATCGCCTCAAGATGTTGATGAAGAAATTCGAACTGTCCAGCTAAAAATATTCTGCAGCCCAAGGAAAGAGAAACAGAATCAATGCCAAGACCCATAAGTCATCACTCTAATTCGTACAACAGGCCTCACAAAACTAAGGAAATATAGCTATTTAATTACCACCAAAAGGAAGGATTTGAAAGGGAAGGAAAAACTGGGGCGTTTCAAAACTAACACAGAATTTTGTGTTCTCAAATATTTTGATTTAATAGGCCTTTTTGCCCATACGTCGGCGATATTGAATTTATTAGATTTAAGGAGTATTATGGGATGCACAGGGCACATGAGCACGATCCGATATACTCGCCCCGTATTTACGCCCGCTTTTCGGGCAAATTTTTCTTTAAGATTTCCTAGAAAAAGGTTGTAATGGGAAAAAAAAGATGGTTGTGCCGTGTTGGATGTGATAATGATCGTCTTTTTCCCGAGAAATACATAGTGAAGTTCTCTTTTTGCCCGAGAAGCCCGCGTAAATACTGAGCGAGTGCCGCCTGGGCATCCCATAATACTCCTTAAATCTAATAAATTCAATATGGCTGCCGTGCAGGTAAAAAGGTCTATTCGAACAACTTACAGTGATTCCGTGGCAATGATTCTTTCTGACAAGCCAAACATTGTTTCAACTCGAGAAAGGTCCACAAGAGCAGACAGATAGGGATGAAGAACCTGAAGACACACAAAGGAACACATAATGAGTAAACAAAGCTAGGGAAAGAAAAGGAAAATTGTTATGTTTTGATGCAATAATTGAGCTTTCTGCCCCTACAGTCTAGTAATTAATTTGCCTCACAATTCTGATTTCAGTCACTAAACCGCAGGGGCGCCAGCTGGGTGTATAAAACGACTGTTTAAGAACATATAACAATTATTCACCGAAGTGGAGGTGGCTAGTCGTGGATATTTTACCGAACTGCGAAGCAGTGAGGTAAATATCCACAACTAGCCACCGACACTGAGGTGAATAATTGTTTTAGTATATACTAAAACAGTGAGATAATTGAGCACAAAAATGATGATTTTTAACTCAAATACTGTTGCCAACGATTACAATTTTGGCGCGTAATGACCGGGCGGCCGCGGCCGTCGCTTTTTCTTGCCGACAATTAAAACTTTTGCAGACATTTGTTTAGCTCTTGCGGGGAAATTTCTTCAAAAAAAGGTGTGCATTCTTTTTGTATTTAAAATCATTCTATAACAAAAGATTATTAAATTTAGTTTTAAGCTTATTTATGAACAACTCAACTAAGTAAAGTAACGCAAGACTTAAACTTAATTTGCATTTGTAAACAAAAATTTTTTCACCGGTTTTATCGATAAATTCGTGTCAAAAAGACAAAGCTTTACCTGTTAAAACTTCCAATCCGAACTTCGTCACCATCTTCGTGTATTTTGGAAACAGCTTGCTTGATTAGTTGTGAAATTTCTTTGTTTGTTTACGGCAGCAAACCGGGAAGGCATTTTGCTCGCAACTTACGCGAGTTTGGCGTCGCTCGAGCGGAGGAACTGGAGGTGAATCAGTGAATAGTGCAGGATATTCACTGATTGAGTAGCCAATCAGAGCGCGTGAAAAACACTATCCACTGTTTTAGTATATACTAAATCAATTTATTTGCCTCACAATTCTGATTTCAGTCACTAAACCGCACGGGCACCAGGTGAGGTGTATAAAACGACTGTTTAAGAACATGGGGCGCGTGATAAGTGAAGACACACGAAGGAATACACACTGAGTAAACAATGGGACACGAAATAAAAATTGCTGTATTTTGATGCACTGATTGAGCTCATTTCCCTCACTGTCTATTTTATTCTTTATTTGTCTCACTATTCTAATTTCAGTCACTAAACAAAGGCGAAAAGTCATTTGTCCAATATAACTACTGTTTATGAGATATGGAGCGCCTGATAAGTGAAGACACACGAAGGACTACATACTATGTAAACAACGGGAAAAGACAGGAGTACTGACTGAGCTCATTGCCCTTACTGTGTATTTATCTATTTGTCCCCCTATTCTACTTTGGCGCTCAGTGAGGAGTCTTAGAAAACCACTGTTTTAAGCTATGAAATGTGTGCGAGAGAGCGGAGGATACGTCAGTAGCTTCCTCTTTCTTCTCGCGCGTCTTCTTCCTTCGCAGTCAACGTAGCCGTTCTTATTTGCGTCCTGAATGTCTCGTGCCCCCGCTACAAGGCTACTTTTTCGGGGTCGTGAGATCTCTAAACCGCTCTCCTCTATCCTATATGACGGATTTGAACCTAAAAAAGGATCTTATGTAATGAGCCATTAACTCAACGCGAAAGCACCATACATATAACAAACAGTTTTTGACTTCATACCTTCATGTCGTTTCCACTGTTCAACGTCTCGGGTTGTTCCTGTATGAGAAAGAAAATAGCGATAAGCGAGAAAGCTTAAGTTTAAGTGAGACGCATTCGGGGACAAAAGCTTTACTCAAGGCATTTTTTTTCTTTCGAATGCAACTCTTCATTAATAAAGCAAGGAAAATTCCACGCAGTACGGCAAGATATTTTGACGGCTGACTTACATGTTGAATGAGATTGTCGGAGATTCTCTTTAAACTTGTTCTTAACTTAATACTCAAACCATGGGCGCTGCCATCTACCTAAAGGAACAAAGAGAGAGCAGGAATTACTTGAAAACCAACTGATTACGTGTGAAAGATTATGGTTCATTTTCTGTTTCTTGCTTTGCCATTAAATGTATGAATTCTTTGCTTAACTCAAATAGTAACTGTTTTTACTCTGAAGGAAAATGATTTTAGGAGAGTTAAACTGAAAAAAAGTGCTGGGTATTCTGCTACAGTTAATAGAAGTCTAATATATAGATTTAGCCAGGGCTAAAAGCGAGGCTCCCATTAGTAAATTTATAATTTAAATTAAACAATAAACTTGTATTCAAATTCCACAATTCAGTTAACTTTAGAGCACATTTCTGTGACTTTTGAGGGAAAGGCTACCTGATTTTAGAGAAAAATAATTTGCAAACAGCCCAAGAGTGAACCAAATCTTACATCGAGTTGATAGCCTCATATGAACACTCAAAAACTGGTAATCACCTTTTATCACATTTAAGAGCCGTAATGGCTATTGATCACCGTAGATCAATTAGGCTTAGAAAAAAAATCAGGCCAACGTTTTGGCGTTCGACAAGTTTACTTTGCAAAATCTTGCCAACAAATCTGGGTGCGTGTAAACCAACCTTTTATACCATGGACAGAAAGCAGTATTTCACAATACAAATTGCTCTCATTCAATATTCATAAACTGTTAAAAAAATTTTCCAAAATCACCTATACGGCCATCCGGTTCTCACTTTTGTAGTGCGAGCTCTAGCGAGTGTTTGAATGAACATTAACAGAGTTACGCTCCAAGATAATAAAGAATTTATCATGTTTATTTTTTATTTGATGGTTTAACGCGCGGCATTTTGAGAACTCCTGCAAGCGATGTTCACTGAACGACTGAAAACAATCGGCATAGCGATTAAAATTGCAAGAGAGACTACCAACAATCAATAAAAGAAATATAATTCGGTGAAACATAAACAGAGACAACAATTTTCATTCAGGAAGACAAGTATTAAAGTGTCCCTAAATATCCTGAGTCTTCAAGCTTCAAGCTTAAGTTTGCTGAAGTTTATGTTTTAAGCCAGCTTCCCGGTGTTTGTTTTTTCAAAGACGAACTCGAGGCAAGAAAAATCGCTCAAAGCTTTCTTTTCCGGCTAGAATTATAACTAAAGATTCTTTGGAACATTTTCTTTCTATTTGCGGTGAGAAACTGTCTAAAGGCTTTTTAAAGTTCTGTAAGATTATATCAAACCAGATACTCGGTGAGATCGTTGTCTCAAAACTTACAAACGCGCATAAACTAAATTCCCGCATAAACTACGCTCCACTTCATTAAATTAGATACAAAAAACAAACATGAAATACAATAATTTCTCTGGCTTACCATTCGAGATGCAGCTCCTGAAAGTTATCAGGTAAAGCCAGTATCGCTTCAGACTTTGCAATCCTCTTCGCATCAAGCAAGGTGAAAACGAAAACGATGTCATCCGAAATCGGATTTCCGACTTTGACAAGCGACGTTTTCTCAACCAAAAACCCAATAAACAAACTAGCCATGAGTAACAGAAGACTCCTGATAGCAGCTGAATTTCATTTTGTACATCCAGTGGAAAAAGACAGTTAAAAACATCACAAGTTGACACAAAACTCTGTCAGCTTCAGCTGTTAAAGTAAACAAGATTCAAGATGCTGCATAAATTTTGCGCATGAACTCACGTAGAGCGTGACCAACGCGTGACCATTGTGAGAAAAAACAAAAGCAACTGTCTTCCCTGCCTGTAACAGCTGGCTGAATTTTCACGTCCGAGGTCAGTTTGCAATCAAAATTTTAATTGTGCAGCACATAAACACAACATATTTCATATGAATTAAGAAAAAAAATTAACTTGAGCCTGCGATCACTTGAAAACTAGTTTACTTGTCAGCGGATAACTTCAAAAAATACTTGACCTCGACGGGTCGACACCTGAGCCCGCGATACGGTCAAGTGATACTGGTCAGCGGGTACTCTGTTTTGACAGCTGTCAATTGATCAAAACATTGATGTCCAATATGTGTGCATTATAGCAGCCGTGCATTATCAGTTTTCCTGTGCTCCCAAACTAGTAAAAGTATGAGATTGAACGTTGTTCGCGATCTAGTAAAACAGTTAACTGGTCAGCGGACAGCTTCCAAATAAATCACGTCACCTCGATGAGTTGACACATGAGCCCGCGATATGGTCATGGGATACTGGTCAGTGGCTATCCTGTTTGGACAGCTGTCAATTGACCATATTGTTAATGTCCTATATTAAAGATGTGGGCTTGCCAAGACACGCCTGAGACACCCCTCCCTTCCTTTTGATAGTCTCCCCTACCCCACCCATACAATCTGTAGACGCGTACGTACGTACGTACGTACGTACGTACGCTCGGTCAATCACGTGACAACCAAACGAAAAGAGGTTGACCATATTCCATGGGTATGGGGCTCTGTCCCACGCGCGCTTCGCGCGCGCGGGAGCCCCGCTATGAATGTCAACAAGCAGTAATTCTACCGTAATCGATCAGCTAACTGCCACAATTTGGTGGTTGCTTACAACAGTTGTTCGCTTATGAGATGAAGATTTGACCGGACTAAGGGCTTCGACTACCAAACTTACAAGCTAATTATAAGTGCAACAGAAAAAGGGGGGGTTAAGAATAGAGCGGTGAAGGATCACTTTTACGGCAAAGGGCAAACGGCAAAAGTCACACACAAGACGACAATTGGTCATGTTAGGAAATCAGCAGACAAAAACAGTCTACCAAAATTCTTTGGCTGACACATGAAAATGCTCATTTAAATGTCAATTCAATAAAACGTAAACGATAAGCAAAGGGAAAACTTGGTCACGTGGTACAAATGGACGTTTTCGCTTGTCGTAAACGTGGCTCTTAATTTGCCTAGTTCCTAAGCCTCATTATTCCGCGCGGCCAAAGCGTTTCGGGTCACGTGGTCCAAGCGAAAATGTGAATTGACCGAGAGGGACTGGGAAAACGCCGTACAGGGACTAGGCAAGCTCGAAATCTCTAACTAAGTAAATGGAGAAAATCTCTCTATTAGTCTTACCATCACCTCCGGGGCGAAAAAGGACGCAACCTAAGAAAGAGTAAAAAGACAGATATTTGAAAACAGAACGATAAGCCCTGTCATTAAATGCAGTTATATACAACTGGTTCTGTCTGTTTTGTTTTCAACGACACTGGATAAAAGTATGTCTAAAAATGCTACTATTTTAAGTCTCCACATGCTTTCAAATTGGAGAAGGGAGTAACATGTAGATTTGACGAAGACGATCAAACGGGTTGCGTTTCTGATAGGAAATAGTCAGCAGGTACTGTATATAAAGAGGTGCTGAGTGATAGAGACCTTTATAGGAAAAAAACGGATTTTATAAACAAAAGGTTGGTCATCAGGGAGCCATTGAAGTTCTCGTAGTATCGGGTTGATGTGGTGCCAAAGTGTCACATTTTGGCACTTTTAAACACGGTACTTGTGTGAACTGGAAGCAGTCATTTCCCCCACCCCCCTCTCTGAGAGTTTCCTAACGGGCCATTTCAAGGTTGTACATTCAAACACTGGTTTGAAATGCTGGCCCCCAAAGTTTTATTTTTGTAACTCAAACGAATTTGATTTGCAAGGCGAAGGGCTGAGTGAAGAATTAAAGGAGGAAAGAACGTCCTTGGTGCTAGTTTGATAGCCTGACGCCCTTAAACCTGGTAACATCAAAAGTCCAAACTTGGGGCAGTTACAAAAGGTCAGAACAGGCCGGCCAAACCGGTCATTTTGAAAATAAAATATTAGTTTTTTTCCTCGAAATTTTTACTTAAACTCATCATTGCGGTGCACACCAGTTAGGAAAACAGCGATCTAGATGGATACAGGTAAACTGTTCACAGTCCCCTATTTCACCGAGATCGAGCCCTGTGCGTTACGCCAAACCGCCCCCGCCCCCAAAGTAGTTTTGATACTCATCCAAGATGGCTGGCCGTAACGCAAAGCGCTCGATCTCGGCGATCATACTGAAAAATAGGAGACTGTGAACAGTGTAGGATACAGGATAGTTCCGATTAATGGTGGAATTATCCTTAAGACGGGACTGGTCTGTCAAGCCAGTTCTGACAAATGGTAAATACCCTTAGAATTTGCCCTAACTGACTTTAGTTTAGACGAACTGCTTATGTATGACACTCAAATAAGATTATCTGTAGTCAGTAATGTGTCACGGTGGATACGACCGCACACGAACCAGTGCAAAATAGCATAAGATAAACACTCACAGAAAACAAGTAGTAATCGAACAACTGCGACATGCAGATGACCACATCAAATGCAATGGGCTTTAGTACGTTCATCATCTGCATATATTTACCTGTAACACAAATTTTGGAAGTGAAAGTTAATGCAAACCGTGCTTGGTGCCTTTAAAAGGCCAAGTGACATGTAGCGATAGTGTTTAAACAAGCAAGATAATTATGGCCCCGAGTTGCTCATAGACTGAGAAAAACACGTGTCACAACCATGGGTGTCCTCAGTTACGGAGGATTTCCACTGACGCGTAATTTTTACATGCGTACGCGCGTAAATTTCACGTTCGTTAATAATTAGGGGCAATGTATCAAAGGTCGCTCGTAAACACAAAAGTTGAACTTCAATCAACTTTTACGTTTACGCCCGACACTACATACATTGCCTGTATTTCATTTACGCGCGTAAAATTTACGTGCGTTCTCACGTAGAATTTACGCGGCAGTGGAAATCCACCGTTAGTCTCTGGTCGACAGTACACGTGATCCGACTTTTATTGCAACTGACCTGTCCTATTTGAAAGACCAACTTAACAGAGCATTTTCATAAACGGACCTTGGGTTATTATTTCTCAATCATGAGCTCATTTTTTATTTGTCTATTTTTGTTTATTTGCCACACAATGATAGTAATTGCAAAAATATAAGATAAGTAGAAAAAAGAAGAGGCAAGGAGACCTAACAGAAACTATAGGAGATTATGAGAGGTTACGCCTCCTCGGACTACGGGCTAACTCACCGAAGACTCTCAGAACGTTAAGAGTGGTGTTGGTGATACAAGGAACTTTGGACAGAAATTTCTGATGCTTTCTGCTGTTTGCAGACGTCTCAGACCTATCACAAGAAAATGATTAGATTAGAAATACTCCTAACATTAACCAATACATTGGAAGGCAAACAGATTAGGGGAATAAGGAAAACCATCACCAAGGGGATAAATGTTTTATCATTCGATCACCAAGTTTGTTTTTTAATGAATATCTTCGGGAAGTGAAGCGATCTGCCTTTTTTCACCCAAGAACGATCGCAAGAGGGAGAAAAGCGTGGTTTCGTTTATGCATGGGCAGAATATTATTTGCAGCCAAACACAGTTGGACGACATTGCGCATGAACAGACCATTATTTGTAGGCAGTTATTTGCAGCTCACGTGGTGGGCTTTCGACCAATGAAAAGGAAGACAAATTTGCATTGAATGATAATACGTTTTACCACCTTAAAACTTTTGCTCTTAGATATAGCCAAAGTCAAAAGCCAAGAAAAAGAAATAAAAATTTAACTAAAAATGCACTTAACCCGCTTGAAGGAATTTCACCAGTTTTTTCATCCACATAATCCAATTTGAGTTCCTCTAAGGAATGAAAATAAAGGCAAATAAAATTACAACTGTCACAACCCCACTTTAAGAACATACTAAATATGAGAGTTAGGAAACACTAAATAAATACCTCTAAAAACCATCTCAAGATATTCACTGTCTAGTCATCTATTTACTACTTGGAAATAGTGTATAGTTTCCACCAAAAGAAGCCTTGGTCGGTTAGTTGTCAGAGTATCCTTCTAGAAGGGAGATCACGAGTTTATTGGTGATAATGATGTTAATGCTGTTGATGTTAATGATGATGATGATGATGATGGTGGTGGTGGTGTTGTCGTTGACGATGATGATGATGATGGTGGTGGTGAAAGTGGTGGTGTCGTTGAAGATGATGATGATGATGATGGTGGTGGTGGTGGTGTTGTTGACGACGATGATGATGATGATGATGGTGGTGGTGGTGGAGGTGGTGGTGTTGTTGACGATGATGATGATGATGGTGGTGGTGGTGGTGGTGGTGGTGTCGTTGACGACGATGATGATGATGGTGGTGGTGGTGGTGGTGGTGGTGGTGTCGTTGACGATGATGATGATGATGATGGTGGTGGTGGTGGTGGTTTGTCGTTGACGATGATGATGATGATGATGGTGGTGGTGGTGGTGGTGGTGGTGGTGGAGGTGGTATTGTCGTTGACGATGATGATGATGATGATGGTGGTGGTGGTGGTGGTGGTGGTGGAGGTGATTGATGATGACGATGATGATGATGATGGTGGTGGTGGTGGTGGTGGTGTTGACGATGATGATGATGATGATGGTGGTGGTGGTGGTGGTGGAGGTGGTGGTGTCGTTGACGATGATGATGATGATGGTGGTGGTGATGGTGGTGGTGGTGGTAGTGTTGTCGTTGACGATGATGATGATGATGATGGTGGTAACGGTGGTGGTGGTGGTGATAATGATGATGATGATGATGATGATGATGATGATGATGATGATGGTAATGGTGGTGGTAATGGTGGTGGTGGTGATGTAGTAATAATTCTCTCCCCTTGTTACTAGAATTCCATCGCTGAATGAAAATAGACCCTTCCAAGTTCTATTTTTTTCAAAGTTTTTATAAAGGCCAGTGAGCGAATATCCATTGACATTGCTGCAAAGAGCCTTTTGAAATTAAAAAACTTACCAAGTTTAAAGGTGATACGTTAAACGTGAGTGAAGAAAGATGTTGCTTCATTGCTTCACAAACTCGCGACATTTTACAGAAGTTTGTATGGTGAGGAGCAAAACGTCTTCAACAACCGGCGATTTTTTGGAGCTACCTCTTCGATAGTTTTTAACAAATCACGTTTAAAATTAGCATCTTTCCTAATTTTAAGGCGTTCTTTTTCGCCGTGTTGATAGGTCCAAGTCAAAAGTCGAAAAAAAAAACCGTGGAAAGTTTTGACAGAATTCCATTGTACTGTGTCGGTTATGGTTTCTTTTCTGTTGCCGATGCAGCTTTTCTGTTTATTTGTTTTTGTTTTCTCTTGGCTTTGTATTGACGAATTTCATTTATCATTATTTACACCGACGAGAAAATAAAACCACAATATGAACATAAATATTTGCACTACGTACCATAATCATTACAAGAGAAATTTTATAAACCATCCACAGAAAATTGCTTGTTACCTGGAACATCATCATCTTCATCATCCTCTTCATCATCTTCCTGACTTAACCCACGTGATCTTTTATTGTTCTCATTCACATCACCATCCGCTACCTCCTTCAAATGTAGGGATCAATTTAGGTTTTGGGGGAAACTGCTTACCTACCCCTCCCCTAAGCTAACATTAACACTTACTTCTCACTTAGGGCAAAATGATGGCTTAGGGGAAGGGTAGGTGGGCTGTTCCCCAGAAACCTGTGTAGTACAGGGACAAAACAGAACGGAACTCGAGCCTTTTAAGAACTGAAGTATAGCACTGAATAGATTACACTGTTCACAGTGGAACAGCCTACATAAAAAGGGTCAATGTTGGCGCTGGGAACCGGTCGTTTCGATACAAAGTCGTTTCGATACGAGCTCAGGAGGTAAAACTGCACAAAAATTTCGTTTACTTCAAGTAAAGTTTGCGACAAGAAAAACATCTTTGGTGAATGTTCTTGGTTCTTTAAGCCAAGTACGTGGAACTATTTATACATCCACTGAATAAACCTATATCGCAACGACTTGTGTCGAAATGACTTTATATCGAAACGACCGGTAACCTTGGCACTTAGGCGAGGTTTGGGGGGCAAGTGCAAAAAACCAGCATGAGCGCTCCCCAAAACGCCCGTTGTTTTCTTAGGAATTTGTTGTTTCTGTTACATTTTCCGAAGGCCTTTTTCCTCGCCACTCAACTGACCCATTGTAATTAACCCAAAAGCGTAGCATCCATACTTCTCTGATAACACACGCAGTTCACAACGATATTTAACGCCCTGCGCTGTTGCGGTGGCCTTGCCAAACTTGGCGAGCCCAAGTACATGAAAAATAGTTAGTTAATTCCTCGCTACTTTCTACAAAATTGCAGAACTTACTCCGTTTTCTGCTAAAACATCTTCCACCTCGTCTTCAACATAAACGTCATCAAACGGATTACCATGCGTTGAATAGCGCGAGAAGAATCCTGTTTTAAAAACAAGTTCATCAAGTCAGTGGAACTTGCTAGAGATAGGCAATGGTAGGAAATCCTTTCCGAGTCACTGTTGACATTTTGCCGCATTGGTGTAACTCAGACAATTAAAAGGGCTGTGACGTCAGGGTTCATGTTGTTAATAATGCTAATAACATGTTTTTGTTCGCTATGGAACTGGAGAAATTAGTCGTGAATGCGGGCAAACTCTGGCCTGCGAGCAAGCTCTCCAGGGCGCTCTGGCGGCGGGGCGGGAAAAGAAAGGAGAGCTCGCAACTACGTCTCTGGAATTTGAATATCTGCATCGAAAAAGTCGATGCGAAATGCTGATTGGCGGAGATGGCATTAGTAATGACGTCATTACCCTTGGCACGTGTTTTTCAATGTTTGTTTACATTTACGCTCGTTTCAGCTTCGTGCTGATTTTCGGAAATCTGACCGCTCAGTCGACGAGGAGCCAAAGTGGGATTGGAGGTGGAATTCAAACCCCAGAGACGAAGTTGCAAGCTCTCCTTCCTTTTCCCACCTGGCCGCCAGAGCGCCTTGGGGAGATTGCTCGCAGGCTAGACAAAATAACAGCTTCGTGTCAAACAAATACGTCCCCGAGCATTACATCATACGGTACAAACAACAAAATTGAAGAGTTTGAAAACGTGTTAGACTGACAAGTTTTCAAAAACCACAATTGCAATCCGTTTTTCGTCAAGTTTGTTCCTCTGTGCCTCCTTTTGTATTTGCGGGGCTATTTATACCTTCTTTTGATGTTTTGAGCGGTTATTTTTGTGTTTTAATCATTTTGTGACAGTCCCCAGCGGTGAAATTTTGGATTAATCGAGGTTTTGAGGAACTGCCCACCTACCCCTCCCTTAGCCCAAAATTTTGCCCCAAGTGGGACGCAAATGTTAACATTGAGTTAGGGAAGGGGTAGGTGGGCAGTTTCCTAGAAACCTAAATTAATCCTACACAGCTTCTTTAAATCCAAAACCAATTGTGGAACATTTTAGTAGGAGACATCTTGATTTTCAGACCTGTATCAGCAGTAACATGCACTGTTCCAGACGGTGTTCGTTTGTGATATTTGACATGAGGCTGCTGCTGATGTTTCATAAAACGGAATTCCTGTGGATTAAAAACATGTTTAATCATACACATCGTTTGAAACAACGATCAAAGTTCCAAAGTTCTAAATTTCTGGTGCAAGGGCATTACTTAAGAAAATAAATCAATACAGTTCTTTATGGGAAGGTACAGCCGACAGAGCGGGCGTTATTTTTCGCATTCTTGGGGTGAGTGCGAAGCGTGCGTGGAACACGAGACACGCGCGACAGGTGAAGGCAAAGAACTAAAATCGCATTTCCCCATTGTGCGTGTCTCACGCTCCATGCTTGCCTCGCGCTTACCTTTTTCTCGGCTGAAAAACACAACAAAATAATGTTCTGCAAGCTAGGGAAGAAATTAATAAAAGAGGTAACAAAATTGTTTTGGATAGAATAATTCGAAGATAGTTCTTTCCAAAAGAAAAAATGCCCTGCATTTTTCGATATCAAAGGCAATGTATTTTACGACACTAAAATCAAATAAATCTGAAATATTTGTTACATTCAAAGTATTAATTTGGGTTTTCATAAGTGTTTGTCAGTTCCAAAATTTAGTCTCACTCTTTACGTACAAAACTGTTCACATAGAACAAGGCTTTAGCCAAGTTACTGTCCTTTAGTATTTTAAAATCATATTTCGATTTTTTTCCGCACTTCCCGTGTTCAATATTGTTGTATACAATCAGAAACTCATAAAGGGGTTGAAACGTGCAACTCGCGTTCAATGCGATTTCATTTTTGGAGTCCAACCCCAGGGGTTTGCTCCACGTTGTTTCTACCATCACCTTTGTGGACTCAAAGATCTCTTGCTCGGTTTTCCTGCTCAATACTTCAGTTAGCTTCTTGGTTTCAGTTTTCGGAAGTTTTTTCCCAGTTTGTCGACCATTTTTTTCAGCGGGCGCGGGAACGTGGGGTAAAATTACGTCATGTCGTTTACGAAGTTTGATTGGTCAGTTATCTTTTCTTCTCGTTCCAAATATGGCACTTGCGAAAATGAATGCTCACGAGCATCAGACAAAGCAAACATATGGTCCTAATGAAGAGGCGCCAGTCAGCTATTGGCCAATTTTCTAACCTGTCCCTAATAACAGTCCCAGAAGTCTTTGCAAAAGTTAATTCGGTCCAGTTTTCTTCGCGTTTCTGAAGTTGAGAATTGAATTTACATGCTCAAAACTTAAAAGTGCTCTCGTGAGGACAGATAAACGTTATTCAGTATCGCTTTTATGGCTCATTTCATTTTTAAAAAGAAAGACTAACATGAACTTACCGACAGATCAACAATTTTAAATGAGGCTTTGACTGGACACAACTCCCACGCTTCATTTTCTAAGAACATACGCAATTCATCCATCCTTGTTCGGTGGTAGGTCTTAAAGTATTTAACAGTCTGTTTTCTGATAGATTCGTGAAGGTCCTCCGACGAACTGCTGCAGAATTCCTCACCAACCGCGATCAATCTGGCAAAGAAAACCCCTTTCAGTTACGATACAATTTCCAAGAAAAACGAAAACCACGACAAACTTACCCATCATAAATCTATTTGCGAGGTTATGTGCTCGCGAAAGCGGCAATTTTAAAAGATTGGTTATCAATTTTGCAAGACCGAAATCGCGAAAATAAGTTCCTCAGATAAGCCGAGTTCGAGGTCCATACTACAAAATTGCGGACTTAGTTTTCTTCCCTGACCTGACGACCAGCGCACTTCGTGCATGGTGCGCGAATCAAAGAAGGGAAAACGGGGACCGTACAATATGGAAAGAAATAAGAAAACAACATTTCTATGGGACAAGAAATGGGACCCGATAAGGGATTTACTACGCATTTAGAGCTTTTTAAAAAAATTGGAAATAAGCAAACAGAACACTTGCGAAATTGTCTCCAAGTTGGAAAACTTCACCAATTCTCTTTCTCACTCAATATTATTGTCCAGATAGACGTACTTGAAGCGGAAGAAAGTGTTTAAATTTCAGACCGAAAATTTACCAATCACAAAACGAGCAAAAGAAATGAAGAAGGAATAACTAAATTTGACAGTAACATGAAAGTTCAGTTGAACCATTAATGTGGGCTTATTAATCCTATCTTGAAGAAACCTGGATTGGATTTGCTGTACAAAAATTACAGACCAGTTAGTAACTTACAATACGTATCCAAGTTGACTGAAAAAGTCGTTTTTAATCAAGTTTACGATCACATGGTTTCAAATGCTATTTTTCCTGCGCTTCAATCTTCTTACAGGCAATTCCATAGCACTGAAACTGCACTTATCAAGGTGATGAACGATATTTTGTTAAAGATGAACTCTCAACATGTCACTATGTTAATTTTATTGGATCTCAGTGCTGCCTTTGACACTGTTGATCATCGAATACTTTTAGAGAGGCTATCTGACGAGGTTGGCATACGTGGGACTGCTCTGAATTGGTTTAGATCGTACTTGTCTGATAGAAGTCAGCGCGTTTCTGTACATGGAGTTCTTTCTCGTCCTTTTGACTTGAACTGCGGGGTACCCCAAGGCTCATGTTTAGGGCCTTTGCTATTCATAATATATGCGTCCAAGCTGTTTAAGATCGTGGAACATTATCTTCCTGATGCTCACTGTTTCGCTGATGATACGCAGCTGTATCTGAGTTTTAAACCACTCGGCAACACTGCTCAAGCTGATGCTATACAAGCTATGGAAAAGTGCATTGACGCGGTGAGGAAATGGATGATTCAAGATAGGTTGATGATCAATGACGATAAAACGGAGTTTTTGTTAGTCGACACACGACAACAGCTTGATAAATTAGATTCGTGTTCCATAACTGTGGGCAATAATCGTATCAGTCCAAGCCCATGTGTTAGAAACCTTGGATCGTGGTTTGACAGCAACTTAAGCATGACTGATCATATAAACAAGGCTTGTAATGCGGCATTTTATCATTTACATAACTTGAGACGTATTAAGAAATACCTGTCGAGAGATTCTTTAATTACTTTGGTTCATGCTTTTATAACCAGCCGTCTTGACTATTGTAATGATTTATTGTTTGGCTTACCAAATGTGCAGATCGCTAAATTACAGCGTGTACAAAATGCAGCAGCAAGACTTATTCTTGGCATTGGAAAGTTTTCTCACATTACACCGGCGCTTTATGAGCTGCACTGGCTGCCAGTTTCTTTGCGTATTGACTATAAGATTTTACTTTTGACTTTCAAATGTATTTATGGCCTAGCGCCAACTTATCTTAGCGATCTTATTAGTATAAAATCGAATTCATTATATAATCTTAGGTCTACTGGTAAGCTCTTATTGGACCATCCCAAGGGAAAGATGCTTACAACATTGGGAGCAAGATCATTCTCAGCAGCAGCTCCGAAACTCTGGAATGAGCTACCTGTGGAGCTTCGTCAGGCAACGTCACTTAACAGTTTTAAATCTCGACTTAAAACCTATCTTTTTAAGAAGTATTTTTATAGTTTGTAACTTAGTTTATTTTATTCTCACGGTAATGTATTTTCGTTTTCTTTTAAACATATGATTGTAAAGCGCTATTGATCAGCACATGTAAATACGCGCTATATAAATTGGTAAATTATTATTATTATATGTCCGCAATCAAATAGGATTTAAATAACGCTTTCTCAGAACAAAAAACAAATAAATAAATAAATAAATAAAACGTACAGTAAAAGGGAAGTTCTACCCGATAAAAAAAGGAAAAAACAGCGATAATAAAGAAGGGATAACTAAATATGACAGTAACTTCTCAAACTCAAAGGAAATTAATGTTTAATGAGTGTTTGGATATCAGATGAAAAACTGCTCATTTTTGCATCCTTAATTTCTCCTTAAAAAATGATTTTGTTTGAGAAGAAATATCAAACATTCGACACAGTGTTTCATCACCAGATGAAACACCTCGAAGTTCGTCAAAAATACTCCGCTGCGCGTCGTATTTTCAACTCTCTTCTCGGTGTTTCATCTGGTGATGAAACACTGCATCTCATGTTTGATATATTACATAAAAGTTGAACTATGTCGGCGATCTCATATCGTTTAAAAAAAGCTTTCCCAGAACAAAAATAATAATGAATAAAAAGTACAAAAATAAAAACATAAAATAAGAGTTCTACCTGTTAACAAGATCCAAAACATAGATGAAGTCGTCATATTTGAAATACGACAAATCATGTGATAACACGTGACTTTTTATTCTCTCCTGGACTTCCTGGAGAAAGGAAGGAAATCAGTCACTCAAATCAGAAAAAAAGCATTTTACGTGGCCAAAGAATATTCGTGTTTTTATGCATCTTTCCAGTGTTTTGATTAGGTTATTATTTTCAATAAATGGAAGAGCAGGCCACTAGACACTTTGCAAATTATTTCGCATCTTTTTCACTCATTATACACCAAACTCAAATTCGTTAAAATGGCAGATTTAACTGCGAACTAGGTTCTTAAGCCCAAACAACTATGGTAATGTTGCTTTAGACAAAATGTTGTAAGTCTGAATCCCGTTTGTAGTAAATCCATCTTAACTATTCACGTCTTAAGATAGACCATTGTTAGCAACGAGTCACAGGGCCTTTGAAAGAGAAAACTAAAGTTGCAGCAACGATGACTTTCATTCCACTGAAAATCCCTCGTTTAAAGCCTCAATTTTTGCTCTTCTGAGTACAAAAACCCCGGAAAAGAATATGAATTAAACCAATTTGAAAGTCATTTTGTAAGGAATACCACCTTGATGAATTCACAGTTGAAACGATTTAGTGTGATTGTAGCCCTAGGTGGGATAAATAAAAGTGAACAAACCTTCCATATCCTATTAAGGCCATGATCAAGTTTCTGTTGAATGTAATTCTTGTTGTAAGCTGCTTCAGCAGATGGTTCCTCGTGTCCAGTGGCGCTCGGATGCATAGCTGGATCATACTGCTCATGCCACTTGTATATTTGGTGATAGCTTAACATGAAGGACCAAAGAGTCTGGAAGAAAGGGAGTACAGACATTGAGTACCAGGTTGGCCGGAACCAGGCTCGGCAGTGTGGGGAGAACAGGCGAAAAAAAATTAACTGCTGAGCCTGGTCTTAGGCTAAGTGTTAGGCTGTTATAAGCCGGCTTGAATATACTCTTCTTTCTTTGAATTGTCCATACCGCCTGCAAAGGAGTTCAGTTTTGTTTTTGTTTTCCCGAAAACGCATAGAAAAAAATCTTTTTTATTTTCAATCCGGACATTCGAAAATTTGTTCTCACGTTTCCGCCTGAGTCACAACCTACAAGACAAACATGAGACAGGGAACTAGATGCAACGACGTCATTTCAGGGTACTCCACAAGCCAATAACTTACTGGTGAATTCCGGAGTAAGCTACTGATGCTTCGGTTCATTTTCGGAAGTGACGTTATCAGATCCGTTCCACGCGCGGTCGGTCTCGAGGAGTTGCTCAAGTGGGGAAGAAGTTAGTAGAATGGCCGTTACCAATATGATCAGATTTCTGAAGAAATGTTACGTGGCTCAGTTTCTCCACAGGGGGCCCACAGAATCTGTTTGTGTAACCGATGTAATTTTATGGTAAATGTACTGTATTTACCGTTTGCTTCATCTGTAGCGATACATCGCTTAATATGTGCATGTTTTAAACCTAAATATACGTTGTGTTACCTTAACTTCGGTAAATTGTCGTCCTCTTATCTGAGAAGTGGCATTTTGAAGGATACCGAAAATAACCCTCGGGATTAAGGGATTGAGCGAAAATTTGGGTCGGGGTGGCGGGATTGAAGAGCCCCAATAGGGAACCCTCTGTATAGAGGAACTAGAGAGGAGAAGTGTGACGTCACGTTACTATGGTAGCAAAATTTCTATATCACAACAATACGGAGTTTTTGCAACAGCAAGAAAGAAATAGGTTTAGATTGGCAAAAGAAAACCTTTGCAGGTGCATCACGCTTTTTGGTACAATTTCACTCGCCCACTTTATCGAGTAGGTGAGCTCAACACAAAAATTTTCTTTTTCTTTTTCTAAACTTAGACACGGTCCTTTCGGATTCAACCCAGAAAATTTCGCCAACATTCGACAAATTAAATGAAATCGATGAAATTAAGATTAAATTGACATCGATGAAGTTTGAAACAAAGCGAATCCACTTCTTAAGTGACGTTTTGATTTGTTGTCATTCAGAAATTTTGCTACCATGGCAACGTGACGTAACGACTTCTCCTTTCTATTGATCTGATTACTGTACGTAATGATAACCGCTACCCTTTAATCATTATCATACCTTACAGAGATCCAATAAACATGGGGTAAATTGATCCACACTTACTTTCTGCAACGGAAAGTTAAGTTGGTAAAAATGAAGTGAAGAAAACCTTTTTTCTCTGTTAAAAAGTCATTTGCTAGTTACCTTCTGCCTCATTTTACCTTTGATATGAAAGCCTTGCTCTCATGCAAGTAAACATTTGTTTCACATTTGAAAAGTTTGAACTAGATCTCCTTTTGATGTCGTGACAATATGGAGATTTAGAATGCACTTTACGACAAACGCCAATTTCTTCTTCTTCTTCCAAGAAACCCCACCTCCTTCAAAAATGAAGATTCTCGAGAGGGGTGCCAAGAAAGTGACCGAGTTTCCCCTTTACATGTCGTTTGCTGCTCATTAGTTCTACAAAGAAAAAAAAAGCAGTTTCATCCCTTAAGAGTAAGTTTACGCAGTTTTTATCTGTTCAGTTCCTTTTCTGCGAAATTGTCAACTTGAATTTGACGTTTGCCGGTTGCCGTAGACGTGATTCTAAATCTCTTCAATGTTTGTGTTAGGTAAATAAATCTACCACGGAAAAAGGGTTCAAAAAATCCAGAATTTCTACCCTCTTCGAACCCTGACCTCTGCGATGGTGTTGTACCTCTGAACGTTTGCAAAACTCGCTTGGGCCCAGGCCAAACGTAGAACTTTCCATGAGGCGAAACAAACTTAGTGATTAAGTTCGTTAAAAGTTCGTAGTCTGGCTCACTTTAGTTCGTCTTAATGAGTTTGGATCGTCCAACACGTTCTATCCATCTGCTTGAGTTTGGTTCGTCTCATGAAGGCCTAGGCCTTACTGCACAAGCTCTCAGGAGAGTAAAGTTGGCTACTCGGTTATTTATTTTAAAAAAACCTGTGATTACCTTGCACTGTTCTTCAAAATGAAAGTGCTGAAAACTGTCTTCAGAGAGCGCTTCAGCAGAATATTCCTAGGGATTGTAAGAAGAAAAAGAAACATAACAGTATTAAACAATCAAGGTTTTGCTGAGGTAATGGGGAGTTTAAGATGCCACAACGGCGACGGCAACGAGAACTTCAAAGAACCACACGTTTAATCAGCAAAACAACAACTTTGCACGTACCTCACGCTTTTTTTGTACATTTCTTAGCCGTCGTTGCACGACTACAACGTGAAAGTGCCTAATTTCACGTTTTGTCGAGGACGGGAACACAAAACAACACCTCATAGTTTCTTTTACTTTTCTTAAAATTTGATACAGTCCTTTAGAATTCAACTCCAAAAAAGTTTGCCCGCATTTGACGAATTAAACGAGATGGAATAAGCGCGATAAAGTTTGAAGCAGTGCGAATTCACTTTTTAAGTGACGTTTCCGAAGCCGTCGCCGCCGTTGTTGCTTGAGCTCCCTAATGTTCACAAAATACAGGCTACCTTTTCGTGCCGACACGAAAATCTAGCCGGTATTCTATGAACACCTATCCGATATCTGACTCTCCACTTTAGAGATCAGCGCAGCGCAGCTTTGCTCCGTTACGGAAATCGCGCCAGAATCACCGTAGTTAAGTGCGAACAGAAGCCCTAGTGTCCGGTATGGTTTTAATGCGGGCGCAAAAGCTACCCGGTATGGTATGAACATAGCCTAACAGTCCAGTTTCAAATCCGTCGCGGCCACTGAATAGAAACACTGAAGACTCACTGCTTCATACAGGGTTAGCCTCGACCTAAAGTAAAATATTCGCAACTACTGGCGAGAAGGTGCCTGAATTTGTATTCAACACAATCGACACAGTTGTGCACAGGTCTTCTTCTCACTGGAATTTGTGAATATATTTACCTTAGGTCGAGGTTAACCCTGTATAAATGAGCCTTCAGCGCTTCCATTCAGCGGCCGCGATGAATTTTAAACTGCACATACCCCTGTGTGATCCAAAACAACAGAAAATGATTCATGATTGATGGCCGTCATGAAGTGTATGATCAGTTGATCCAAAGCTATCTCTGTCTTTCCCAGGTATTTATAGGCTGTCAGCAAACGCTCATAATTCACTGGATTAAAGTTCTTGCATATTTTTCCCAGGGCTACATCAAGTTGTTTCTGTGAATTAGACAGAGAAGAGAAAGCATCATTATTATCATCATTATCATTAAAGGGGCTAGTATGTCACGCTAATTGTTTATCTTTTTAAAAAGAAAAAGCCAAAACTTTTCTCACATCCATTGAATTTCAAAAATAATGGTCCAGGTTTGTTTTTTAAGACTATATTAAAGCACTGAAACTGTTTTCTGCCGTATGGTGCAAACAGATGGCAAGGATGGACATGGATTGAAACTTGGAAAAGTTGGGCCAACTTTTTCAAGTTTTAACGCATTGCCTGCAAAACTTATCCCAATAAAATATTTTGGTTGGTGCTCGCTTATAAAATCTGTTTGATATATTTTATCTTGCTCTACAGGAGCATTTTGTGTATGGAGTAAAGGCAATAAGAAATCACTTCAGCACAGAATTGACCTAAAACAGCAATATCCTAGTGGCACAGCCGTTTTAATAAGGGTATAATTTACATCTACAAATTCACAAGGAGAAGACTGAAATATTCTCAGAAGAGTTTAATAGTTTACCTCAATATCTATCAGTGTCTCTTGGAGATTGGAACTCAGTTCACTGTGTGTTTAAAAGGAAAATATTACGGAGGTTTTGAAAACATTGGTTGTGACAAGAGCTTCTCTATAAAACATCAGAATTTATGATTTTCTTATTGTAAAACTTTCCAATTCCCTAATAAAATTCCTGATAAAAAACAGTGGTACAGTATCAGAGTACTGCTGAAGTGGTTTCATTTGAATGGTACAAAAATTAGAATTACAAATTCTAAATAAATAGTGCCACAAGTGTGGAAGTACCACTGAAAAGGATTCATTTGAATTGTCAAAGTTTTTTCACTGAAAAGGGTTCATTTGAAAAAAATTGTCATGCCAAAATATACCATTTAGAACGTTTTCTCAAAATAATGGTACTTTTTACCCAGTTTAGCCATCCTTTTCAAAATGCACTGTCTATTTAAATATGAATAAATCCCCCGTTTTAAGCCATTTTTATCCCCTTTAAGCCTTTTTACCTTTTCATATACTTCAACTAGTGAAATCCCTACCCTTTCATATACCTGAAACCTGAAAAAGTTACCCTTTTGGGCGGAGCCTCCCCATATATTATAGAAAGTACCAAAAAGATTAAAAGTAAATAAGAAAACAATTTTAAAACAATTCTTTGCCACTACAACTTTCATTCACCAGCCTAAATAAAACTTGTTTCATGTATTCATCGTTGACTTGGGGAGTTTTATTCAAGTAAATACAGTGTTTCATGTGGTAATCACACTGGGGAGTAAGAGGCATATTCAATTCGGTCTCATCATGACTGCTCACAGTGGTTATATAGGTAAACTTGAGTGTGAGGAGTGAATTAAGCTGTATAAAATAAATGTACATGTACCTTATGCAGCTGTAGTGTTTGAATGCTTGTGCTGCTTTCTCACACTCTAGACACAAATTGATAGCACCTGGGTAGTCTTCTTCCTGCAAATTAAAGATTTAACAGCAACAACTGGTGTAGCACATTATAATCAAAATCAAACTGGATATCTTTGCATTTAACATCAGTCATACAGTAATCCTATGATGCAACCTGTAACTAACAGTCCAGTCCTCAAACATTTACATGTATGATATTTAATAAAAATTGTTTAAAAAAATTCTAAGCATTAATAACCCACTCCGTTTGAATAGCTGATGAATGACATATGAATGGCTATCCATTCAAAAACGGCAAACCATGAGAAACGTTTTTGCATGAGGTCAGTCAATAATATTGTTGTCCAATCATAATTACCTCAAGCATCTCTTTAAGCCTAACATCTGTTTTTTGCTGAGGAAATTAAAAGAAGAAAAAATTCATTAATTGTAAGATCAAACCTGAGACACTCGCTTTTGGACGCCCATGATACACATGATACTGATTAATTCCGTTCATAGAAACAACTAACAAACTGTAGCTCAAGTGCGGTAACTACGGTTGCAACATTGCCACACCTGAACAGCTGTCCTGCAAAATTAATGCGCCTGTGCTATGTCCTGCAATTTTCACAATTAACTTTCACAAGCAGAAAACTTCAAGATTATCCACACTTGACACTGGACTGGGTAAAATACAGACTTTTGAGTGATACTTCTATTAAGTAGCTATGCCATGCAGCCATCCTCTAATTAGCACCCAGAAAAATAAAAAAATAAACCACTGAAAAATTTACTCCATTCAATAAAAAACTCTATTCTTTACCAGTGTTTTGATTGTCCTTAAGGAGTCAAGCAGGATAAGTAGATGCTGTTTTTTCCGATGTTTGGCTAAAATTCCTAAGCCCCCAACAGACACACCTCTCTTGGCGCGGTCTAAATGTCTGCAAAAAAATTATGCAACTCAAAATATAAGTTCTCTGCTCAACAAGGATATTTAAACTTGGAGTTCCACTGAAAATACTGTTACTTTATCAGCCAAAGTTTATAAAAATTGATTTAATCATAAACCTTCTCCCTCTGTCACATATTGAAGAAGCTGTGTGTAAGGATTCCTGTAGGTCCATTACTCTTTGTAATTCCTAAAAAAATATTTGACAAACTACAAATTAAAAATTTTCTATAACCCCACCCTATGCTATAGTGCACTTAATATCAGAAAGAATTTAACAATATGATGTATGACAAGAATGGGTTCATATCAGTATACTGATCTTTTACTGACTTCCTGAGAGGGCTCTTGTCAAAAAAAATGTTAGGTCGGTGAGTTATATCAAGTTTCCTCAGACACAATATCAATCAAAGGATGAATGCAGTGTGTAACTGAAGTTGATTATTAATTATTACTTAGTGTTAAAGATAATTAGATATGATCCCCCATTTTCAGAGACAGAGACTTGCAAAAGGCTATTAGCTGTGCAATGGATAACTGAATAATTGTTTTCTTTTCCTTTCGTTTATTGATTTTGTGAACAAGTTCGAAGGAGAATAGTCAATAAGATGATTTGTGCTAGGTTTATATTTTCGCTTTACTTCCATTTGTTATGACTAAACATCAAGGTTCTTTGTGTTATGTTAAGGATTGCTTCGTCATTTTGGGTGCTCATGTTCTTGCTTTCCCATAACATTGTTGTTGCTTTTCTTTGGGTTGCTCTTGTTTTAATTCTCTTCTTAATCTTGCTGCTGTATTTATAAGTTTGACAGTCATTTATCAGTTAAATTCTTGGTTTAATCGCTTGTGATCACAACTGAACCACTTTTCCTGGACGTGGTTGCACATACTTGTTTACCGTACAGTGGCTCAACACAAGCCATAGCGTGATTTTGATGCACAGTGACATGTTACCTGCACAAATTGGTTGTGATTATCCAATACTTTTTTGTATAGTGTCTTAGAGACCTGAAAAAGTTGCATGAAAGATCACAAATTACATTATAATACAGCTTTCTATTTTTTTTTCTTTCTTGTACATTGATTAGAGGTGTGGTACATTGTATTATCTCCAAGGTGCAAGCAGCTCCAACAAGGACCATTAGTGAGAATGACTCACCTTTTGACAACAAAGTTTCAAGACAAAGTGAATACTGCTTCATCAGTTGGAGATAATATTTGTAGTGATATCAAATAATTTGTTATTACTTTCTAAATGAAGAAACCTAATTGTAATTATTGGAAGTGCATCTCACAGAAAAGGGGAACTATAAAGAAGTGATTTCACTGCATGATCAGTCACATCGCACAAGTTTAGTCTTCTCAGAGAAAGCCCCTGAAGAAATATAATGTGCAGAGGCAGCTACAGTGATGTTGAAGATTAAAAAAAGTTCAATGAGAGATGCCACTAGGATTACACCCTTTGCTTGGGAACATTTAAGACCGTGGTTATTGATGTGACTGCTGTTGTAACTGCACCCTGTTGGAGCTAGTAGTTGGCAGTTAAAGTATCATCATCGTTGTCCAAATCTTGATCCCCCTTTTTGCATCAAATAAAACACTTTTGTCCCAGCTTTGCAGAATCTCTATCGTTCATCAGTTGTCTTTAAGGTACTTGAAAGGCATGTTACCATAAATGGGACCGCTTTTTTAAGGCGTATCTTTTATCCACATTAGAACAAAGAATTCAGAACCTTTCTATACTATAATCAATCATTATGGTTAAAGAAGGAATAGTGCCTTTTTTATTACTGCATAAATTAGTGGGTTTTAATAATCTGGCTTTTAGTCTCACCGCCTGGAGTTGCCTTCGAAGATTATTGCGATAATCATCAAGGTCATCAAGGTCAAGAACTTCAGGAAGTTGCTGTAATTACAAAAAAAAATGAGACAAAATGAATGCCCAAGACCTCTTTCAAAATTTTAACATCATTACTTGATATAGTTTTTCCTGCTTTTTTTTCTGAATACTTTTACTTAATACTGGCTATAAATAGAATTTGTGAGTCCAGAGGCCGGTGACAATAATGTTATCAACAGTGGACAATGAATCACTTGACTACACTTTTACTGGTAATACACTTGAAAAATATGTCACAGAATGTGTACTGAAAGTATTGTGCAAACATTTGTCAACAAAAAATACTTATGTGATGAGTTGTACTTTTGGATGATTCTGCTTAAAATACTATAAACACTACACAGTGGTTAGATTTATGCCCTGTCCACATTAATGACATCATTCTGGATAATTAATTTTAAAAATTAATCTTTTTTTCTCCAGTTCGGCCTATCAGCTACACTTATTCAGATGAGTTTCAAATTGAGCTTCATTCTGCAATTTGGCCAACAGTCCATACTGTGCTACCTGAGAACTATGTGAAACAGGGCCATACATGAGATTAAGTTTTCTCTTAGTTCTTCTGGACTGTCCCACACAGGTTAATAACAAAGGTAATTCAAGACAATTTTGATAAAAGCATATAACTTACGTGAAGTTCATGATCACTTGAATCAAATGAGCTGTCACTGAAATAGATCTCTTTTATTTCCCCTAAAACCTGAAGATCAACATGTATTTTAGAATTGAGTATCAGTGGTTTCATCTACTGTACTTGAACAACAAAAACCTGACACCTACATTACAAGTCATTACCTCACACTTTCAGGCATACAAGAATAGTAACCTTTGTTTTGATCATTTATGTCACCCTTAAAAATTGTATGTGAGTTTTCTCCTGAAATGCACAATTTTAGATCATTTTGAATGAAAATTAACTTGCTTAGTTCCCTAATGTTGAAATTCAGAAATTGCAGGTATGTGTGTTCCACAAATGGCAAAATGTGCGGTATGCGAGAAGTGATGGGAACGAGTAATTCTATCTATTTCCAAGACAGTTGCATGAATATGACATGCAAAAAAATACACGAGAAATGCAAATTTATCCTAAGACTTTTACTCAGGATTGTGGCTCTAACATTTTACCAAAAGTAAACTTGAAACTTTTTTTAGAATGTGGGTGGAACTTTTTTAATGATGGCAAAGGTATAGCAACTATTCGGCTAGGACATAGCAAGACATCAAATAAGACAAAATGATAAGAAAAATTATATTCTGTCAACCTCTTCATCAGAACGTGGGTCATCTTGGAATTCCCGAACATCATCCTAAAAAAAGATGGGCATGAAAAAATTTAGTTGTTTTATATTGAAGTTTGAAGGATAGCTATTCTAGCTTCTGTGGACAGGATATTAGTCCATTGTATGCCTGCCAACCTTTTCCAAGTCACACAAAATTAATGACTTTTTTTACCAGGAAGTCAAGATTTAGGAAAACTCCTATCAGATATCTGCAGATGCCTGAAGACTTATGATGTTAGCAAAACTGTTCATAACTATTGTAAATAACTAGAATTTAAGGGAAAATGCTCACTGTTGTTTTTGTTGCTGTTATAATAATAATTAACAATAATTTAATCTTAACAATAACAGCTCTGTCAAGTGTGTATTCTGGAATTTCAATTTCCAAAGGATCACAGAATTTAAGCAAGTGGAGAGAACTTAATCATGCTTAACAGGTGAAATCCATCTTGGTACACTATTAACATACAAGGTAGTCCCAGATGATAAGGTAGTTAGAACGAAAAAGGAAAAATTGACACATGTCAAGATTGGACAGAAAAAAGTTGGGAAGACCAGGAAAAGACACAGAAAGTAAAACCATCAATCTTCCCAATGAAAAAATACTGTAAAGCACCTGATGCCTGCTTCAAAAGAAATTGGGTGAACATGTTCATAGAGCGTTCCAGAAAACTGCACCACTTTTAAATCTATGCGATTGCATCATTGTTTTTGTTTTTTTTTTTAAATTAGAAAGCTGAGCTGCAAAGCAGTAACTTGGCCAACAATTAACCCAAAAGGTCTCTTAGGAAAAAGGATGTTGCCCCTCTCCAAAAGTAAACAAATTCAAAGTCTTGTCACGTTTCCTCACAAAATTATGGCTGAGGTTGTTTCTGGTGCATACATGCTTGAGATGAATAAATACGCTAGATAGAAATAACTTAAAGTAAGCATGACTGATCATAAATGCAGCATCGGTATCTCATCAATTTTTGACATAGTATTTTAGTATTTGCCAATATCTTTTGCCCCCACCCCAATGTCCCTTCATATACACTTAATGATGGCAACAATATAAGTAATGATAAAATATTACCAGTTCCAAAACACTAACTGAGGACACTATCAATCATAAACATAAGTTATAATAAAATAACAAAGGCTATTGTTTTTATTCTAAGCCCCACACCTATAAATGAAATCATCACTCAATTAGCCACCCCATATAGTAGCTAATTATAAACATATAAGCTTAAGCTTAAAAACTAAGCACTATTTCCAAGCACTTAATATTTCAGCCATACTAACTTTATATACAACTTCTGGAAGGTTCTCTGTAGAATCTCCATCGAAAGAATCTTTCTGTGAACGCTGACAAGGCAAGACAAAAGTATTACTTGATGCAATCAGCTGAAAGTATGATCATCGTTAAGCGAATATAAGCTTGCACTTGTCTATTGAGTATACTTTCCTTTCAACTGAATTTCGAAATAGATTGGCAGCACAGTCTGTATATATAATGAAGATACCTACGTCTAAGCCAAGAAAGGAGCGAAACCGATCTCGTAGAGCCATAAAGCTCGATGGCGGAACTACGCTTTTTTATTCCAGAAACCTCCCCTCTTTCATTCCTTCCTGGCGGCCATTTAATACCGAATCAAAGGTTTATATGGTCAGCGGTCGAACTCCCTAGATATGTATGTCATGTAATCACAAATGTAGTGTAGGGTTGCTCGTAGGGACAAAAAACATCCCAGAATTCCAATCACTTAACATTTCCCAGAATCCAAAAACACTTAGCAGAAACACATCCAAGAATCCAAAATACTTCTCAGAATCCGAAACGTCTTTGGATTCTGGGACGTGTTTTTGAATTCTGAGATGTGTTTTGGATTCCGGGAAGTGTTTTGGATTCTGGGAGGAGTTTTTGATTTCTGGGATGTGTTTAGACCCTATCAGCGACGGTAGTAGTGTACTTGTCGTCCCTGCTTTCATTGCATTCTCTCAGTTCTTTTTGCTTCTCTCTTTTCCTCTAGAAAGAAATATAGAGGAGAAGTAGCTGGTAGCCCCGGGGGATGGGGGTCGGTTCATACTTGGGTATGCCGCTGATCTGATGTACTATGGGCGCAAGAAATAACGGAGAGCGCGAGGGGCTAGGGGGACATGTGTTTCCGTTTCGCTCACCGTTCTCCATCATACCAAGAGGCTCTTGATCCCACCCATAACTTCCAAGCGCATGCCGGATGAATCCTTCGACTACGGCATCGTTGTAGGTCGAAATGAATGACGAAGGACCGCGAAACACTTTATTGAAGCGAGTTCATGTAACCTGTTTTAGCCAGGGCGTTTCCCCGAGGGAGGTGAAAAGGGGAAGGGACCTGAATGGGGAAGAGAAACAAGGGGAAAGGGGAAAGGGACTGGAGAAGGAGTTCATCTTTTTTTGTCCCTTCTCCTCCCTTTTTTTTCTCCCGCCATGGAAACCGATCATACGTTCTACGTTGCACGCCTGAGTTTAGTGAGGGCTTTTTCAGTCGTTTGTGGTGCTTTTAAGGTGGATTCCCACTGTCGCGTAATTTTAACGTGCGTACGCAAGTAAATTTTACGCGCGTAAATAACATAGTGACAATGTATGGAAGGTCACGCGTAAACGTAAATGTTGAACCTCTCTCAACTTTCACGTTTGCGTGTGGCCCTTCCTACATTCAAGTCTCTATTTCATTTAGGGGGGCAAATTTTACGTGCGTTGGCACACAAAAAGTACGCGACCGTGGAAATCAAACCTTAGGGAAGCGTCTTCTCGCTTCAGTTGTCAGTCTGTAGGCAATCGCTTTCTCCCAGTCCACTTTGTATCAACTGGGTACCCGTTTAAATAAACAGTTGAAACTACAGAACCCGATAGGTACTGATAACGTTATGAAAAAGTGGAGAAACGTTGCTCTTTCTTCTGTGAGTCGGAAAATAGCTTTCTTTACATTGAAATGCGGTTGGTCTAGAAGGCTAACAAATTGCCGTATTTCTGCTTGATTTAACACACGCTGGTAAATAATTTAAATGCCACCTGGCTGCTGTCGAATAACATAACCTACCAATGATGTGAAAAAAAACTCGGTGACAGAGCCAAGAGACCAGGTCGTGAAATTCGACCAAAAATATTATTTAATGTTCCGAACCTTGACGTAGAGCTTGATAGCGAGAGATGAAACAATTGATCCTAATTATAAGCGCATGAGACCTACTCTAACATAAACTCGTTGACTTGGAGGCCTATTGACAAAGCATCATGTCCAGTGACAGAAAGTGGCTACGCATAAACCGCGACTTGCTAGTCTACAAAGCATTTTATTTCTTCTTTCTTAGTGGATTTGGAAGTATATTTCCATATCTTCCGGTGTATTTTCGACAGATAGGTCTGCCCGCCAGTCAAGTTGGACTGCTGCTTGGCTTGCGCCCAATTGTCCAGTTCGCCAGTGCACCATTTTGGGCCATCATGGCAGACAGATACAGGAAGCGAAAATCTGTGTTGGTCATGTCAGTTATATCCTGGCTCATTATGACAATGACTTTAGCGTTCGTAGAGCCTACCAACGAAATCTGTGAGATTCGCCAAGGAAATGACACTCATCAACATGTTGTGAATTACACAAAAGTAAAAACAGGATTTTTTAGACGTTCGCTGTGGCTACCCCTAACTGAACCTGATACGCAAATAGGAGATGGGACGCAACAACAAGCCGATTTAGACATTGTGCCGATACATACTGATCACAGAGAAAGAAAGTTAAAAAATATTTCACGTTCAAACGTAAGAGTGCTAGAGACTTCAAATGTTGCGCAGTTTCACGAGGGTGATCATCGATCTCTGATCCTCTCCGAAGGAAAAAGGTCCTTTCATGCGAGAAATAGCAGTAACTTATCTGCGCCGGTAACTATAGCCGAGCAGCAAAAAGACATGAGCGATATTTCAACTGTTACAACACTTAGTTCAAGTGGTATATTAACCAGGAATCGTAACTCTAAAAACAATAAACAACCGGAGCGTTTTTACAAGAAGGATGGTCCAAAGTTACAAAACCTGACGAAAGAAACACAATTAGCCACCGGTAAAGACGTTGTACTATCCGCTGGGGAGCAAATTAAATCAAAACACTTTTCACGCTTTTATAAAACCAGCAATTTGACAGGTGAAAGCAATAGACATAGAAATTTCTCGGAGCGTCGTCTTCAGATTGAAAACACTTATCAGAAGCTTCAAGGCAAAAATGATTCCACAAAGTCTGGGCTTAAGAGAAGCGAAAGACTTCGCGAAAACGCGACAAGAAACTTCACTCTCAACGTTCTGTCACCTGCACGCGCTCATGAAAAGAAAGACAATTCTTCTACTGACAAAAGACGGGAAAATAAAGGTTCCCCACCCGTTGTAATAGAGTTTTCGAGAATTATAATTCCGCACAGTTCACAAAGTAAGGATAAAACAACCGAGAACTCATTCAACGCGAAAAATGAAGACGGCTCCGGAAATTTTGAACGAAGGCCACTTCTTGAAGAAACTGTGGTTCGGAAAACAGTTTTGCACTCAAATGAACCGTCAACGACAGAGAGAGTAAATGCGAATATTTCAGATATTTTGACACAGATAAGTAAGCGACCAACAGAGAACATTGATCAAGGTAATTTGTTACAGTTGGAGGAAAAATTATCAAAGATGATAGCATTTGATCATCTAAAGACTATCAATGAAAGTAATTCATTACGGACAGGTATAGGAGAGGGTCAGAAGATATCCATTAATGATACGGCTGATAAGACTTCAAGTTTACCCAGTATTTCATTAAACCGCTCACCACTTAATCAAATACATGTTCATAACAAAACTTTCTACACACAAAGCGATACACTTCTTAAAAATGAATTGCACAAATCCGAGACAAAATTTATAAGCCATCAGGAGTCTTTCCCAGCTATGGACAAAACAGACAATGTAAGAGGCCAGTCGGAGGTCAAAACTTCAAAAGGTAACTTGGAGAGCGATGATTATGGCTTAATTAGCGGCTCTGCAAATTCTGTCTTGGATTCCTCCACATGGTACACCTCAACTGAAGGAGAAGGCTCCTTTTACAACCCCCAAAAAGAGGAAATCAAAATAAATGCAGCTTCTCATCACAATACTGAGAAAGTATCCAATGATCTACAAAACAGTGCCTCTGAAAAATACAGAGAAGCGAGCAGAATTCAGTCATTACACAATGAGAGTTTACTTATAACGGATGGATATATGTCAGGGGAATCCCAAACCGCTATAACTTCAGATGCCGAGGAAACGAGAGAAACAAATTTCATGCAGGAAACCGGCTTAGTCACTAAGCTTTTGAAAAAATCCGACAAAAAGTTACAAATATGGATGACAAATTTGCTAAAAACGAATTCCCTTGAGCTGAAGAGAATTTTTACAATTCTTCTCGTGTTAGTTGTTGTGGGCGAGTTTTTAGAAGCTCCTTCCGCTACACTAGCAGACGCATCCCTTTTAGAGCATCTGGGTGAAGAACGACGAAACTATGGAAAACAACGATTATGGGGTTCGCTCGGATTCGGGTTATCGTCGTTTCTTGTCGGAGTTCTATTAGAGAGGTCTCGGCATATTGTTTGTGGCGATCCATACACGGACTACATGATATGTTTCTGCGTATTTGCGTTACTAATGCTAACGACTTTGTTCATATCAACGACATTTAAGTTCAAATACAAAGAAACTGACACGAAACAAGCAAATGTGCTTTGGGCCCTTTGTAACATTCATTACGGCTCATGCCTAGCAGCTGCCTGCTTCATGGGAGTTGGTCACGGAATGTCTCATAGTTTTCTCAACTGGTTTCTCGAAGATCTAGGAGCCACAAAAACATTGATGGGTGTCGCTGTAATTTGCCGAAGTTCTTTGGACTTGTTGACATTTTTCGTGGCGGGAAGCCTGATAAAGGCCGTTGGACAGATAAAAATTATGATCTGCGCGCTGATCTCGTACGGAATTGCCTTCACACTGTATTCGTTACTCACTAACCCCTGGTGGGTTTTGCCAATTGAAATGTTAGTAGGGTGTACGTATGCAGCCTCATGGTCAGCTTGTACTTCATATATGGCAGGTGCGGCGTCCTCAGAATCAGTCACAACTATTCAAGGTTGGTCCCTATGCGATTCCCTATATCTCTCTAGATAGGCATTTTCTCGTTAACTCCTTGATCTTTCAGGAATTGAATGGATTTTGTTCAACATTTTGTTGGTTTTCTTCTTTTTCTTTACTACCCTGACCAGTGACCGTTTCGCACTTGAGACTTAGGACTCCAGAATTGAAGAGAATGAAAGGCTTGCTAACTTTTTTCTATCATTTGAATATTCTATAATGTGAACAGTTTAGAAAAGTTTATAGCACAGAGTGGAAAAATATGTTTCTACCGGGAATACTAATGGCTCTTATAAAAAAAAAATCTGAAGGTCTATTATTTGTTTTATAAACCGTGGAAAGTGATCTTTATTAATCGTAGAAGTGAGCTTAGCTTTTTCAGCTATTTTAAAGGAAAAAATCCACTCAAATAGTAAGAAAAAATACCCGAAAAAGAAAAAACTGGCTGCAGGCAACCAGTTTGGTATTAACAAACTTGGCTAGGATTTGAACTCAGCTTTTTTCCCCTCTCGCCAAACAAACCACCAGCTACGCAGGCCTGGACGGCCGCGGAACAAATCAAGGTAGTGGGGTGGGAATCCAACTCGGGACTGCCGTATTGCGAGTATGACGCACTGATCACCCGGCAACACTACCTGTTGTGTGGCCTAAAGCAAACTTTGTTTAGATAATTGTTCCAAAGGGTACAATTTTTTTTATTTTCATAGGTATTCTCCAAGGTGTTTACTGGGGACTGGGAACAGGCTCAGGTACTATAGCAGGAGGGTTTCTTATCCATCATATTGGAGCAGTGGCTACATTTCGCTGCGTCGCTTGCTGCGCCTTCGTGGCCTGCGTTTTGTTCTGTTTTGCGCAGATGAGATGGACGCAGGAGACAGCAGCGACTCGTCAACTAGACTTTGAGTACACGTATCTACCCACAGTGGAGTCAAAAGATACTGAAGAACTTTTACGAGGGTACAGAGTATCCAAGGGTTCGAAGAAAAAGCATAGTACGACGATTCGGAGATACGAATATCGGTAGGAATCCGACAAGGTTTATGCCGAAAGCTGAACCGTGGTCAACTGTGGATAACTCAAGTTATAACTATCTTCAACATCAATTGTAATGAGAGCTAAAACTCTGAATGGAAATCGACCAGTGCCTCCGGACGAGATCAACCTCAAGATCTTATACAAGGAATTAATCTATTTTCCACGGCCTGAGCTAAGTATCAGACCACAGATCTTGGAACTGCACCTGAATGAAATCGGGTTCAGGGTCTGGAAGGATGATAGACCATAAGGCACCTCAAGGTGCATTATGGTCTATCTGAAAATGATAAATTCCCGGCATCCGTGATTTGATTAAAATACAATGCGAGATTTGAGAAAACGTTGACAGGATACGGGATTTGACTGCCACCAGGGAGGCGCGCGGGATTTGCCAAAATTTGGAAACGAAAGCGGATTGGAAAGGAAAATGATATTCGGGAAAACGATAATAGAAGTTCAGGATGCTGGATTTCTCGTGAAAAAGGAGCGGGAATACCGGACCAGGACTCCCTTTTCCAGACCCTACAGGAACACCTACCCGCAGTTTCCTGTGTCGAGATTGTTCTCATATAATTATATAAGCAAAAAGTATGATACACCCGTACTATTAACAAGTGTCAAAACTGAAGAAAAAGCGTAAGACAAAATGTGATTATGTAGCTTACATTACGAAATGGTAGCACAACACATTAAATTAAAATAAATTCCATAACTTGTATCGTTCTTTGCTTTATTTTTTAAAAATTACTGAGCTACTTGTAATAAGTAGCAAACTTGGACAATTCGCCCTGTAATAAATTTTAAGGAAATTAATAACTTTTTTAACACCGAGGATTTACAGTGGGACCTTTCGTTACTGGTCAACCTATGGCTCCATGTAATGGAATCCAACACAGTCACACAGTGGATTCCGGATTCCAGGTACTGGATTTCGGATTCCAAAGCAAAAGTTCGCTGGACTCCAGATTCCGGATTCTCTTACATGGGGCGAAACCTCCACGCAAACTTCTCCTTCTAAACTAGGCGACGGGCTCGTCTTCACTCAAATTGCTTTCCTTTACAAGGGCTAAGTTTTGCGAAAACCGAAGAGATCTACAATTACCTTGCAACGACCATAGCAGCAAGAGGAATCTGCTGTTGTTCTCTAAATATTTTTGTTTTTATTTGTGTTATATTGAGGCATTATTCTTTCTTTTATTCATGTGAATTTCTATATCAAATCATTTCAAATGAAAAGCATAAACGCGGAAAGCAGTTCCGGTGAAGTATGTCTCGTTGCCTTTGGATATAGACTATTTTCGAATGCACCATAATACACTCTGTTTAATTTGTCCCCACATTTAACAGAAGTTGTTGTTTTCAAATGCACCTAAGAATAAGCAGTGTTCCCATGACGATTTGAAATCAATAGTTCATGGAAAATTTTTGGAGAGGGCAAACACTAGTGTATTATGTAATAGGCCAAACATTTTACACTTGTTACTGCAACAAACGATCCCACAGATCTTTGCTGCAATCTGGTATTGAGGTGCTGATCCGAAGCTTGTGGACAAGGGATCCCTAAATTTAAGCAAGTTAAAGAAAAAATCCTGGTATAAGCACTATGACAGCCTACAGCAACGGGTAAACCTGTCAGTTAATGAAAAAGATAAAGACCCAGAGAGTATTGGCTTGAAATAACTTTTACTGTCTCATACACCAATTCGTCACATTAGGGTCACAGTACTTATGTCCAGCATACAGAACAGGCGCAAAACCTCTCAAAGTTTTAATGTAAACATAGTCATGTTCTGAATTTTCAAGAGTCCTATTGATGTTATATATTGACCTTTCAAAGGTACCAACACACAATAAGACTTTTTGAAAGTAAATTAAAATTCTCTAATTGAAAAGTTGAATAATCCTAAGGATTAGAAATTAAAACTCCTAATATCGCCCTATGTAAGGGATTCTGGGTTCCGGAATCCGGGAAATTTTTGCTTGTGCTATCCCGAAAGAATTCAGAATCCCACTAAAGATTAGAATCAGAAATCCAAGTTCCACTGACAAAAAAATCAGGAATCCAGTACCTGGAGTGCGGATTCCTGGGTTTTGGAATCCGGAATCCCACTAACGATTGGAATCAGAAATCCAGGTTCCACAAACAAAAAATCAGGAATCCAGTACCCGGAATCCGGAATTCTGGGCTTTGGAATCCGGAATACAGCTCAAAGAATCCGGAATCCCACTTACGATTGGAATCAGAAATCCAAGTTCCACCGACCAAAAAAATCTAGAATCCAGTAACTGGAATCCGGAATCCACAGCGTGGAATCCAGAATCCAAGACTGTCCTGGATTCCCTTACATGGGGCGACCTAATAGAATCAATACGATAAGGATTCACAGTGGATTTCAGGATTTCTTTGCTGTGACGATTTAGCTCTGTTCTCCAAAGTGGTTGCCTGTGTCATCTGCTCGCAAGCATTAAACTCTTCGGGTATCCTTTCACCTTCATCTCCATTATTCATCGGCTGAGTGTCCATGGTATCTGTGCAGATATTAAAAGTGTTTAGCAGCACCGAGTAATAATTGCGATCTCGAAAGTTCACGTATCTTAAACCGAAGGTGAAGACGATTATAAACATGACGGCCAACATTGTGAAGAGACGGAACGCGATTGTCGGTCCGGCAGCATGTATCAGGTTGTCTCCAATAAGAAGGCCTAGTATACCTCCCACGCCCCAGTAGACGCTTTGAAACACACCTGGGAAAAAGGAGAAGTTCGTATTATAATAAAAAAGTGATAGGCTATTTAAAATGAGACAATATGGCTAGCTAGGAATAGTGCACGACAAATCTCAGTGTACAGCCTAGATTTTATAACAAACTAGATTTTATAACAAAAATCTAACAGCTGACAAATATACCAAACAGTTACAAACAACTGGTTAAGACATTGGTAAAGAAATTGGCGAAAGGACGCTTCCTATGGTCGGCACCAAGGCCATTTAGGGGCATTTGTGCTGTAAAGACCTAAAATGTTCCATTAAGGCTGTGGTAACGAGCTGTGATATCTCTTTTATCTCTAAAAAACATATTAAACGGCATAAGGGCAGAGCTCATTACCTTGTACAGTTGTGATATAATCAACCGGAGATGATTTCGCCAGATAAGTAACGCACGCCACAAACGAACCTCCAAAGGTGAAGCCTTCAAGGAAGCCGAGTGGAATCACATGCCAGGGACTGGTGACAAATGAGCACGCGAAATGATTAAACATGTTCAATACGAGTGAAGCAAACATCATGTTTATATTCCCGATATGTGCTATTAGTTTATGGCTGACAAAGAAGGCTAATGGCTCGCCTAGCAGACGAAAGGCATTTATTGTAGCAGATGCCCAGTGTCCAATATTACTTTCCATGAGATATGTGGTATGAAAATTCGAAATCACGATATGTGAAAACCCTAAAAAAGCCACAGAAGCAAAGAAAGATCCGTAGTGTTTGTTGTGAAAAATAGTTTTAAGCGTCTCGTACGGAAAACCCTCCGGACGTCTTGATGGTCCTTCGAACTTGATCAACACCAACAACGTAATTATTGTTAAAACACAGTAAAAGCAGAAGTTAATGACATAGTCCGCATACATATGTCCACAGACCGGGCGAAAAGAATCATTCACTAAAGATCCAGTGATTAAAAAGAATATCAAAAAGCCGATAGAGCCAAAAACCCGTTGATATCCATATACAACAAGAGAACCCTCTTCTGTCTGTTTGGCCAGTAAAACTGCGTCAGCAACAAACATCACTGGACACATGAAGATCTCTTCAAACACGACGATCGCTATGGCCCCAAGAAATATTTGATATAACCTGGAGGTATTTTCTCTGAGTTCGTTTCGTATGGTGAAGTTAAACTCGTTGGGATTGGGCGTGTCATTAGAGTTTGATTTATGATGGGGGAATAAAATTTTTATGAAGTCGTGAGTCTTATTTGTATCAGTATTGTTAAATTCGTCCATTCTTTTGTTGGGATGCAAAGAATCGATAATAAATCCACTGCCAGATGCTTCGTTTTCCTGTGATACTGCTGCAGTGTCTGCGCCCGACCCGAACGAAACTTCCACACTCTCTGAGCCACCAGAAGTCAAATTTACTTTAAGTACTTTAGGAATCAGCTTGGACCGCATCTCGAAGAACTCAGCCGTTCTTCTCCGCCGAAAAAATCCGGTTTGCATCTCTGTAGAATTGATAACTTTCAAATTTGTGTCGTTGAGGGAAATAAGTTGGCACATCTGACTAGTGGGCTCGACAAAAGCTAATGAAATAGTCCCTATGAGCCAAACGAAGGTGCAAAACTGAAGCATCATTTTCTTGGGTAACCAGCGGTCCGCCAAAATTCCCCAAACTGGACTGGACAAAAGTCGTACAACCGGTCTTACCCAAGTAAGAGCTTGGATTTGAGACGATGAGAAACCAATCTGTCCAAAATACGAAGGTAAAAACGGGAAGGCCGTGGCGATTGCGCCAAAGAGGAAGAAATAGAACACTTTAAACACAAGAAGGGGTTTGTCGATTCTCGCAAGATGAACATCGCTTTGAGCGATAATTTTCTTAAGTGCAGAGTGGCTATATGTCGTACACACTTGTTCCGCGAATTCGACCCGGCCTCGATCATTCTTCATACGTTTCGCTGCCATTTTTTTCGCGTCTGTGGATCTTAATTAGACCCAGTCTTTCCAATTTATAAAGGCGTTACGCAACGCTTTCCGTAATTTTCTATGAGATCAGTGCAAATATCGAGCGATCGAACAAAACCAGTGACTGCTGACATACGGGACTTTGGCCTTCCACATGCAGGTGGCGGGAAAATAGCCGGTGGTTTACTTCTGCCGGTCACGAGAGATCGCTCAACAAAACAAGACCAGGTGTACCTTACATCGCTCCGAAAGCCTCCTTTCTTAAAGCAATTTCATGCCGTCTTTTATATTCAGTTTCATCTGGCGTGTTAAGTTTTAAGTTTAATTCACAGTGTTAATGATCGAGTCGTGGTAAACAGGCAGGAAAAAGACTGAAAAGATTGAAGAAAAGATTGAATGATTGATTTCTTCTCCAAGTGCAGCTGACTAGCTTGTTGTTCATTTTACAGGTTACACCGGTCATTTCCACCAAAACGTCAATAAAAAAACAAGAACTTAACCTGCATTTTGGATTTTCCAGTAGGACAAGAAGGAATAAACTGGTAATAATTCATACGATGTTTCTGCTTCTTTTTGGGTGGGTAATAGAAACAAAGAAGAGGGCTTCTTTCTCATCTACAGAACAGGCGCACGTTCTACGTGAGGCGAATCAACCTGGGTGAACTTTCCACAGTCTCAAGATCAAGGTCGTTTCAAAAGCACACTTTCTATCCGAATAATCAAGAGCCTGATAGAAAACGCTGAGAAACTAGGCTGGGTCTAAGGCTTGCTAGAACTGAACTATTTTGCTCTTATCATAGGCTCACTTCTTTTGTCTGTTGTTACTGGTGTAAGGGCATCTTAGGTCTTCGTCACCCGCGTCTGTGTGGGAGGCTATCCTTTGAGTTGTGTTAATGTAGTACCTTGGAACTGAATCTGTTCTTAAAAGGATATATTCTGCATGGGTTTCGGGAATAAGTCTTTTGTTCGATTGGCAAATCTGCAGTCAATTTAATAAAACTTTCACGAGTGCAGCTATTGTTTTCGAGTCTGAAAACAATATCTACCCTCATAAATTACACTCGTAAAAGTCTTATAAAACTGACCACTGGATTTTGATGATTTTGAAAATTCAAACCAGGTGCGTTCCCGGTAGAACGCACGTTCTGTCGTTGAGGAAAATAAGCTATTGACGAGCGAAGCCATTTATCATAAAGCTTCATAATACCTTTATTTTAACTTCAATGAAGTACGCGCTTGCAATTGCACGCCACTAATTAATTTGCCTCTCCCATAAACTACAAGGAGAATGAGTGTAAGTCAGGTTAGACGCAATGATTTCTCGGGATCTTTTAGGTGGACAAGCGTTAGTTATGATTGGTGGATGGTATCCAAGGGCAGCCATTAACCAGTCAGTGGTTTTATTGTTCGCCGAAACAATCCCAGAAGTCGTTCAGCCAAATATCTGAACCCATTTGCCCTATCAGAAGTTTATTTATGCAACGGCAAAATATTGACAACTGGGATTACAGTAATCTCACTTTTGTTTATCGGACACCGTCAGGACTGACAATTTAAAGGGTCAGTTAGTTTAGAAGTGGTTATCATCTTCTAGAGAGTCAAAAAAGAAAAGTTACTAGAGAACGGCAGCCACCAGCTTTCCCTTTTATAAAGGCAGTGGCGGACCAGGGGAAGGGCCCGGAGTGGCCGCCCTTTACCCCTTACCCCCACCCCCCCAACCACTTATCTCGCGGGTCTGGATCCAGCACTGAAAGGTGTCTACTACTGCGAGAGTTAAATGTACAACATCCCATGCTAATTAAATAGTTTGACAAAATAAATATCCTTCATATCCATCACAAAAACACTTCTTGTCTCCGTGTGTGTTATTTACAAGTCCTAAATTCAACATTGAAACTTAAGTTATTAATCATATATAAGCAATAATTCATTTTCATTAATCTTTTCCCGAATCTTTCATTTACGTCTAGAAAAATAACTAAATTTACAGATTTACGACCTTTTTTCATTCTGGCAAAAGGTCTGAATACTCTTGCTTCAAATTCTGTTTCCTTCACTTATTTCATTGCAATTAAAGAGAAATTTGACTCAGGCAGTTCTGGATTTGAGATTAATTTCAGTGTAATTTCTGATATTTTGACATGTTTATTAACTAAGCCATAAAGCTTCACACAGATACCGGTGCCTTCTGTCGCTAAAATGCCAAGTAGACAGGGTAGTACGGTTATGTCTGGTCGTCCGTTGACCACAGTCTGTATCGTGATTGGTTACATATAGACCAAGTTACTCTTATACTTACTTACAGAAATTTTTGAAGCCCTAAAAAAGTTTTCTCGCCTACTGGCAAATTATGGCTCATTGTTTCTATAATCTGGCGCTGAGCCATCCCTTCTCATGTGCTGGTGGATTAAGGGTGGTTTTTGACAGGTATGTCATTTGGTCCACTTAACAATGTACGCCAATGACATAAAGCCAAAATGACAGACACCTTCAAATGCAAAACTTCTTCAATCACTTTTAAATGACTGAAAATCCAATTTTGTTTTATCCTGTTTGATGCTAAAACAATGACAGACCAGGATGATTTAGGGAAGGAAAATGACAAGAGCAAATCCCTCGAAAATACACCTAACAAGCAAGGAACGTCTTTCAGAGATTTGCTTTGTGAAGAATTACAAGTGGATAAGGCGCTTTTGCTTTACAAAGGATTTTATTTCCTTTTTTTCGCTGGATTTGGGGCTTCTTTTCCATATATGGCGTTATATTTCAAGCAAATTGGCCTTAATGCCAGTTCAGTTGGAATTTTGGCCGGAATAAGGCCCATGATACAATTTATAAGTGGGCCATTCTGGGCAGTGTTAGCTGACAGATATAAAGCAAGGAAGGCCGTTTTGTTGTTTTCTATTTTGTCATGGTTGGTCATGACCCTGGCGTTGTTGATTCCTAAACCTTACAACACGTACTGTAAAAATTTGATGGAAAATTCAAACGAAAATGTATCGATATTTACTGGGAGACATTCACGACGCGGTGTCGACCTGCAAAATGATAACGTTATCAGTGTGGATATTGATCACCAGAGAAACCCGAGAAAGGTCAAAGAGAAATTGCCCTCACTCATTGGAAATGCTCCTTTTCGAACATTTTTCATAGACGGCAGCCCTAGACAACTTTCTGAATATGAAGTTTCTAGTTCTAAGAAATTCAAACTCATCTTTGACCAGAAAGAAATTTACCGCGTTTATATTTATCTTCTAATATTGGTTGTTGGAGGAGAATTTCTTGAAGCTCCAACATTTATCATGGCCGACACGGGACTACTGCAAAAACTAGGAGAAAAACGAAGACATTACGGAAAAACCAGACTGTTTGGTTCGTTAGGCTTCGCGTTTGCTTCGTTAATAGTCGGAGAGCTACTTGATATGACAGAATATAAATATTGCGGTCGAGTTATGAATAACTATAACATATTATTTTATTCATTTGCCATTATCATGGCCCTGACCTTCGCCTTTGCCTCTTGGATGTTTGAATTTACGTATGAAGATGTAAGCGATGATAACAATGGAAAAAGCAGCACAAAAGAGTTACTAACGCTACTTCTAAAATTCCGGTATGCTTACTTTATAACTATTTCATTCTTTCTAGGATTTTCTAATGGACTATTTTTTAACTTTCTTAACTGGCATCTAGAGGATTTGGGAGCAAGCAAATCTTTGATGGGCATAGGAACAATCTTCAGAGCCATGGCGTTAATCATTGCGTACCTTTTCAACGCGTTTCTGTCACAGTTATGTGGCCACGTCAACTTGATGTTGGTTAGTGTTGCTGCCTATTTTTTTTTATTCGGAAGCTTCTCCATTATCCAGAATCCTTGGTGGGCTCTACCTCTAGAATTCTTAGAAGGACTGACCTATGGCACGACTTGGTCTACAGCTGTGACTCATCTAGCTGATGCTACGCCCAAAGGCGGCGCCGCTACGATGCAAGGTATGTGACTGGTGTGCGTCGAGCCTCCTTGTGCGACCACCTCTCTTAAGCGATTACCTCTCAAAAGCGACAATAATCTACCTTCGAAAGTCAAAGTACCATCAGGGCGGGTGTAATGTACCTAATAGTCGTCCAATCTTGTAGCGACCTCCGAAGCCTAGAGTTATTAGCTTTCTCTTACGGGGGGTTGAGTTTATTTACAGCATGGCTAGAGTGTCAGCGATCAAAAAAATTTGAACCATTTATACACCTTTTTTGGCAGAAAAAGTACCCGTTCCGTATACCTTCTATTGATAAATGGTGCGACTTACACATACTATCTTAGAACACTGCATCCCTTTTAACTGCTGTAAATGCACATTGCAGTAAAATTCTCTAAACAAGGAAATTTTCGAGGACCTCTTTCACATCCATAAAATATAATATGCATCTGTTAGCTTTTTTATCCTTTTACAGACCGAAATGTCAGATTTACCTACGCCATCATATATTTCAACCAATGAAATCTCTACCCTTTCAACCACCTGGGCCGGGTTGTTCAAAGCTGGGTTAAGATAACCCAGGGTTAGTGCGAAATTTGAACTAAGATTTGAAAGCTTAAAAAGTAAATTCAGTTTAATTCTTTCTGTCGTCAAGTTGATGATTGGATCCTCTTCAAAATAACGGAGAAAATTATCCAAGAAAATGATTTTGAACAAAAGAAAAATAAACCCGGGTTAAATTTAACCCTGGGTTAAGCACTAATTGGCCTTCGAACAACTGGGCCCTGAAGCCTGAAAAAGGCACCCCTTTCGGGCTGACGCTATCCATATAGGCCATTGTAGGCAGTACCCCAGAAGGATTTCTTTTGACCTATGTACAAAGAAAACTAGACTGATAAACAAAAAGCGTGCAAGTCTATACGAATGTCATTTGTTTGGGGAACGGACTCAAATTCGCGGCTTTCCGTTGGTTTAGCCTACACGAAACGCATTCCCACCTTAAAAAAGATTGCTGAAAAGTGTTTTTCTACCGTGTGACAACAGCAACTGAGCTGACGATTGGACTATCGACCGTGGCTATTTCCGCCTTTGTTTTCCTTGGAGGCAAAGAAATGACCTATCCATGTTTTACTCAGTCTCGGCTCACATTGACAAAATCAACAACAAAAACTACGGAAACCATTTTTGTCGAGGTCAATTTAATTAATTTAATTAGAGTGGCTCTAAGAGAAGTGTTTCAACGAGAAAACAACCGGGTTACAACACTCCCCTCTATCGGTCGATCATGTTCATATCTTTACGTAGTTAATTTTTGTTGTAGAATCAACCTTGCTGATATTTGTTTGTTATCTGATGATCAGAACAAGACCTATTTGTTTCAATTTTCTTCCAGGAATACTCCAAGGAGTTTACTGGGGACTCGGTGGAGGCCTGGGTGCTATTCTTGGAGGCGTGCTTATTGACGAATATGGTACAGTCCCGTCATTCCGTTTGGGCGCTTTAATGTCAGTTGCGGTCTTGATTGTTGGTGGTTTTATCCAGTATTGTATTTCTTATCAAAAGAAAAAGGCAGAGTCTGAAGAAAAACAAGCTGTAGAACACATGGATGATTTTTAACACGTTTCAATGAAGGAAAGTGGGAAGTACGGCCTAAGATTATGGGAAGAGGGGAAACTGCAAGCTTTGAAAAGGACCCGGAAATGAAGAAAAGTGGGGTTAATTGACTTCTCGCAAGATAGAAAAATGGAAGAAGAGGGAAGCGCCGAGTATAGCCCTTGGTATATGTGAATTTCACCAAAGTTTAAAAATGCTTTAAATGAATCGGAAGTTTGTTTCCGGAGAGGTCCGCAAACTTTTATTCAGCGTTTTCAAGAGAGTATTCAACAGTTGTCATTACAATATTCTGCATTGTTTGCTTTGAGGCAGTCGTGCGTGGTTTTGATGACCTTTCGGACAATCGATTTAAATATGTGAACTTCTCAGGAATTAGACTTCCGTATAATTACAACTTCTAAAAATAACTTGAGCGAAATTCAGATATCCAGGTCAACACCCTATGATTTCCTCTCTGTGCCATCAACCTCTCCTGTTTCTCTCGATATCACCATGCACATGAAGAGTTTGCTAAGAGGCTGAACAGAGAGCTGAGAGAGCTTTCGTTAATAGCACAGTCAAAACAGCAAAGGCAAAAGAGACTTCATTGTTTTCCCAAAAATTCAATAATAATAATAGTGATAAATTTAAATAATAACAATAATGATAATGATAAATGTAATATTAATAATAGTAATAAATAATAATTAATAATTAATATAATAATAATAATAATAATAATGATAATGATAATGATACCAAGAAGAAAAAAAGGAATACTTAAAGCTAATGGTTAAGAGTAGAAAGTAAAAATACTTTTTTAAAAAAATTGAAAACATTCATAAAAATCAAAGAAATAAGAACTTATGGTCTTTTTCATTCTTGCTCCACCAAGCTGCATAGCTTTTTGTTTTTGCTGAAAAGCAAGATTTGAAGGTCGTCATAGTTTTAAAAAGTAGCAAAGGCAACTTAGCATATTAACAGGAGATAACACAGCCTGCGAGTAGAGCCTCCTTTTGTCTTCCTGACTGAGAAGGAGAAAAGGATAACGTCAAACCTTTGAGGTCACCACAGCCCAAACTTCTGGACTAGTCAATCTTCTTCTCTCTCGTCAAACAAGTTTTGCCGGGTGCGAGCCTCTGTTTATTGATAAACCGGTGGTGATAACCGAACTTAACCCTGTGACTTAACCCGCGGTAGGAAGCGCACGGCTATTAGGCCTGGATTCGAAACTGTATCCTAGCAACATGCAGCGCATGCTCAACAAAGATCTTATTCGAATTATGCAGAGTGTCTCTCGAGTCACGAACACGGAAAGCCTCTGCTTGCAGGGCGCATGGAGATGATAGGGCTGTGTACTGTAAATAAATTTAACCAAAACGCCAGTCTAAAATCTTCTTGTTTTATTTACTGGAATTTCACTTACCATTAGTGGAAACATGGACAAAGATGGATAAAAAATTAGTTTATTTAACTATCTTTGCATTTTCTCCAAATAATAAGCTTTTGTTCGTTGAAAACGTCTACGCTCTCGAGTAATATTCTTTGACAAATGATGGCTCTGGTAATAAAGCCAGTTTCAGTTTTCAAACTCTTAGAGAAATGTTTCTGTAAACTTTCAAAAAGTTTGAAAAAAGTAATCATATACATTGAATAGTGAAAGTAAAACCCTTCATTTCAAAGTACTTTGTATAGTTTTTACAATTTCTCTCGTTGACCGCGGTGAATTGTCTCGCATCATATCAGGGGCAGCCAACGACCGTTTTCTGTTCGGAGCTATCTAGAATGTCTAATTATTAAACCTCAAGCCGACAGCTAAACATTTCGTAAATGTTTCCTGATTGCTTTTTTTGGTCTCAGAGTTTCGGCATTTGCATGTTTGGTTCACCTGAGAAATTTGAAGCCTTTTTTTTACTAGTAATTTGGACTCCTAGAAATTTAAAAATCATATGTTTTTATTTTCAAACCATTTTTCCCCGGCTCTATTCACCTGCACTCAATATCTGAAACCCCAAACAGACTATCCTCTCAGGGGAAATGAAGTAAGAGACCGATTATATTAATTCACTTGCATCAAAGCTGGGAGTTGCATTGTTGTATTGATCACTTTATCCGCCCTTTTAAAAAGTAATCTTCCCATAGATTTTCCCTTAATCACTGATACCTCATTTTATGCAATCGAGTCCTGAATAATACGGCCGAGTATAGGCTCGTTTCTCCTTCAAAAATCATGTATTCATTGGCAAGCAGACATTGCTAATGTAATAATCTAATGCCGAATTAGAAAGAAAACCCTACCGTTTACTGAAATGCCAGTTTTCGCTTGAGTGCAGTTTCATAAAAAGGCTTAAGCATTTCACCTTTTTAAACAAAGGTATTCAAATTTTGAGGCATATTTAGTGAATCACCCACCAGAAGTGAATTACATACAAACCAGATTACTGCCATGTCTGTTATGTGTAATTACTTCTAGCGACATGAAACCTGCAGTATTTGATGTTCTGTAATGGACAAAGTTAACTGCTGTTAGCAGATGCTCCCGTGTCATAAGGTAAGCAAAAAGTCGTGTCGGGTGAGGGTAACCCGGGTGAGTAATAAAGAAACTGTAGGTCACCTCTAAGACAAAACAACGAGAGAATATTTACTGCATGGCTGCAACTCATTGAAATCTCTCCTATCGGACACTCTCGTAAGCGGACAGCTCTTCTTAAGGCCACCTGGACAAAACCCTGTTTTTCGCAACTCCCATACAAACTCTGCATTTTTACGATCCCGTATTAAAGCGGCCAGTTCTAGTTATCGGGACACCTTTTTCGCCGGTCTCCGAAGGGTGTCCGCTCACGAGAGATTCTACTGTAGTAATCAAGGGAACCATACGCTTGTTCTTAAATTATAATTTTAATTGCCACGTTGGTAAAGGGAACTGAAGATAAGTTAAACTGAGGCTCCTCTGCAGTACAATTCTAGAAAGCTTGACAACACGTCCGTTTGACACCTTGCTCAGTTTCCCTTGTGGGGCGAGGGAATTCCATATTTGCGATAAATTAGGTCTTTACTTTGCACATAAATACACTCATGTTTTCTTTTTTATACTCATATTTTCTTTTAAACGACTTTCTTAAAGAATTGGCTTGTGCAGAACAACATGAAAGAAAAAGAAAACCATGCAGGCGGGAACAACTCTCACAATTTTGGGAGATCTTAAACTGAGCTAGTTTACTGTTATTGTGAAAGAAGGCTGTTCGCATTCTCTAGGAACACAACACAAATATCACAAAAGTTATTTCAGTATTTCATTGCATTGGCACAATCTAGCTTTGCGCAAACTGTGATTATCTGGTGTCTAAGTTCATCAGTTCATTGACGCTTCGAGGAAACAACGTCTTATACTTAAGTTTTTTAAAAAAACTCATTAAATTACGCGCTTATACACTTGATTGAACAAATATTCAAAATCAAAAGCATATACTTTAGAATGTATTAAGTCTTTCAATCATTTTGAGCTGCCTTATTTTCAGCTTCTCTGCCTTAATGAAACAGCACACTTTGAAATGCTGAAATTAAAAATGGGGCAGTGATTTTCTTATTAACTCTTTGGGGTGATTGCCCAAACGCAACCCGACTGTACAAGTCAGAGTCATGCATTACCAGTCATGAAACGTGTCAAAAAACTGAATGTGAAACTTCTTCTTCTCAACTTACAGCTTCTAAAATCTAAAAATGCCTTTTAATAAGACAAAAAAAATACTGACTAGAGTTTTTTTTTGTTTAACGTTGGTAGCGAATCAAGAAAATTCAAGTTGTTTTCGAACTTCTGTTGAAGAAATTTGGTACTGACTTTTTGTGGGAGGAGATAACGTTCATATCCTAAGTTTTCCGATTCTGAAATTGTCAGCTAAAACATATTAAAACGACAAAAAGTATCAATTTTTTGGAGGTTTATTCTCAAGCATTAAATACAAAACAGTAGACGACCGGTATTTGAAAGGTACCTATATTTTTACGGTCACTGTTGCCGTACAACCGCCCGAGTTTTCATTCAGTACGGGCAATGCAACTATTGAACCGAAACAGATTCGACCAGGGCAAATTTTGCATTCTGGTAGACCTGGTACATTGCAATGATTTGTCTTTATTTTAGAAAGCGACAATCTGTGATTTTACTTTGGAACAGTGGCTCCGGGGAGGACATATCTCCACCGCTCCAAGAAGAAGCTGCGTCAACCATGTCCGATACGGGGCTGTTACAGATTTTTCTTTATGCAAGCCCTAGACCAAAGCTTTTTGCTAAATTTTTAAAGTTTATGTGAGTTTTTTCTTTGGATGATGTTGTAGACATGGTATATTGTGAATGCAAAAAGAAGTAACTTTTCACCTCTAATTAAATATTCAAAGTGCTGTTCTGACTGGGTTTCGCTTGATTAACCCGCAGTAATACCCATGGTGGAGGGGGGAGGGGGCGGGTGCGGGGGAGGCACTCCCTATAATGGCCCATGCGGGGAGTTTCCTCCCGAAAAGGGTACACTTTTCAGACTTTAAGCCGATGTCAAAGGGTAGGGCTTTAAAAGTAATTGAAAGGGCCTTCCATTAAACTGTTTCGAAAAGACGCTCCCTATGGCTAAAAAATTCTAATTCATTAAAGACAAAGACAAGTTATGTCACCTGAAACCTCAGTTATATTTTTATAAAGAGTAGGTATATGCAAAAAATCTTGTTCTTAATGCGATAATGAAACGAAACAAGGGGGAAAAATGTGTAGCATATCTCGTTCTTTAAGGGGGGCTGTTACGAAACCAAACAAGTGCGATAAATAAGTAATTATTAAATACATCTCGTTCTTTAAGATCTAATGAGACGAAACAAGCGCGATTAAGAAGTTAGAATTTGCTGAGCATGATAAAATTCCTAGCGACATGACTCTAGTTTCGGGTGACATAACTTTGGGCAAGATGACTTTCGCGCGACTTGACCGAAAACCTTATCAAATGTTACACAAAAATGTCGAAAATGAGAAGACGACTTTTGTTTTAACGATTTATTCTTACCAGCTGGATATGCTTAAGTGACACCTTTTTAGAATGAAAGGTATACGAAAGGGGTACCTTTCGTTTCGTGTCAAAAATGCAAAAATGGTATATAGGTAATATAGGGTAAGGGGCTGGACCTCAGGGGACTCGGGCAGAGTCTTCTGTATAAAACGTTGTTGAGAAGCGCCCGGGAGTACTATTAATCAGGGCCCATAGTTAAAAACAGTTATTCATTTAAAGCATCAGTCTTGCGCGAATAAATGGCCTAAATATCGTGGTTCCTGCGAGCTGTGTTGATTGTTTGGTGACGGATTCCAAACTGACTTATGTAATATTACGCACGTGCTTACAACCAGCTAGTCATACCAGTTTAAATCAAGATTTTAGAACTGGCAATAACCTGGTAAAATGCTCTAAAAATACAAAAGAAACATAAGTTAAAAAAATTCCTTTCATCAAGAATGCACAAAAAACGACGCATTTTGGCATTTAGCACGGAACTATCACAAATCGAATTTTAGCTATCGAAACAAGACAAAGATATGCTTTGAAAACTTTGCCTCTAAGCAATCTTGAAAAGTTTTAGAATAACCTACTTTTGTGTAGAAGAGTAGCAGAGTTGTCAGTCGTTAGAGACCAAGAATGTATATTTTCCAAAATCAAATGCAAATATTCTTTTCAACCTCTTTTTACTTTACGCTGTCTTTAGACTTAGACTGTTCGTCACCTGGGCAACAGAGCATGGCGAAAAACAATTCAGCATAATTATTCCTGCAGGGATAAACTTGTTTAATATCAGGTAAAATATAGAGCTCTCGTCTTGTTGTTGATTTTTCAAAGCGATCGGGTATTTCGAGGTCATATTGGGCCGGTTGCAGCCATGCGAAATGCGCATGAGTTTTTCAAAACATTATTGGTCATTATTATCTTATTATGATTCCTATAAGTTATCACCAAATAATTAATTTAAGCGCATTTTGCATTGAAGGATTTCGGCAAAGAACATGGGCAAACAGGAAGCTATGGAAGAAGCGGTGCCGGCCAAACAAGAGCCCAAGAAAACCGAGCAGAGAAGAAAAGAAAGGAGACCTCAACAATCTGCGGATTTCTTCAAATGTTTCTACGAGGCTGACTATTTGCTTTTTAAGGGCTTCTGTTTCTTTATTTATGGTGCCTATGGTGGATTCATCCCCTATTTACCTTTGTATTTCAAGCAGCTATTTTTAGGTGCAAGCTATGCCGGAATAATCGTGGGTATTCGCCCATTAATCCAATGCATCGGAGCACCATTTTGGGGAATTATAGCTGATCGTTACCACGCAGGGAGGATAATATTTTTGGGGAGCGTTGTGGCTTGGATTGTCAAAGCTGGCGTTCTGCTTACTGTTCGTCCGCATTACCAACACTGTGTGGAAATCTACACGAACAATACAGCGAACTTAACCTACGTGTATGCATACGATCTGTGGAACGCTGAGGAAGAAAATCGAGGGCATTGGTTGGTTGTGCCCCTAGACCATCCGATCGTAATCAAACATAATAAAATAGTTACAGTAGATCAGTCCAAAGGAAAAGAGAACCTGAACCGTGGTTCTCAACCAGGAAATGCTTTAAAGAAAAGTGGGCCTGTTAAACAACAAAAAATTACCGAGAACGAAGAAAAAGCAAAAGCAAATGACAGCAAAGCCGCACAAGAAACAAAAAAGCGCAAAGTTTTTATGGACGACGAGTCGGAAAGCAGGGAACTCGCCCCTCTCATAGACCAAGTTGAAGACGAAACCACTACGGCTGGTAATTTTGAAGAGATGAGTAAAACGCTAAACCTAAAACTATTCCGTAAAGCAAAAGTTTACAGCAAGGAGTTACAAGCGCCAATTCAATTCATAACGCTAATTGATACGTCGGAAACTGAGTTCATGTTCATCTTGTTTCTACTCATCATTGTAATTGGGGAATTTTTCGAGTCCCCCACTTATGCGCTTTCAGATGCGTCACTCCTCAAACGACTTGGTGACGACAGAGCATACTATGGTCGAATTCGGATGTGGGGTTCTCTCGGCTGGGCACTGGCATCGGCAATGGTTGGGCTTATAGTTATGTCCTCTACATATAAACTTTGCGAGGTAAAACAAAATAACTATGTCATTGCATTCTACATTTTCATTGCTTTTGTGGCCGCGGCATTTGTCCATGGCTTGTGGTTTCGCTTCAAATACGACGAGGAGAAGAATTTCGAAGACATTGGAAAAGTCGCACCCTTGCTTCTAAATCTGCGTCACACCTCTTTTCTGTTCGCAACTCTATACACAGGCTTCTGTTACGGGATACTGGTCCACTTTGTGAACTGGTACATTGATGACCTGGGTGGATCCAGTAGCATAATGGGCGCTGCAGGAGCCGCCAGGGAAATTGCCGCTTTAATCATGTTTGCTTTCAGCACTACAGCCTTAGAAGCTCTAGGTAACGTGAACTCAATGGCGTTTTGTCTCATGTCGTATATCATTTGCTTCATTTGCTACTCAGTCCTCAAGGATCCGTGGATGACGGTAGCTTTGGAGGTACTGGATGGCGCTACCTATGGTCTTGTGTGGTCTACTTGTGTTAATTATATGAGCAGCGTGGGTTCCCAGCTTGGTATCATTGAAACTACTCAAGGTAGGTTCCCGAAAAAGCAATACAAACCCTTTCATGGCGGCCAATTCTCGTAAACGAACAGGTTTTATTAATAACAGCTAACCCAACCTACATATGGTCTCTGGGACACCGTACCCCCCACCCCTGCGGAGATCTTTCTCCCCGCTCTCGGAGTATCCCTGAGAGCTTGCTT